AACAATGTCATTGGGACACTGATAGAAATTTTGATCACTGGCCGATTTCAAGAATCAGTAGCTAGCGGACTGCATATGCACAAAATGCCTTGTACTTTTTAAATATACCTCAACAAGTGAGATTGCCACATACAGAGAGAGTAGACTAAACTCAGCTAAGACCAGCACATTTTCCATCTTATTACCGACTTCAGGTTATGTGGGGCTTTAAAAGAAAAAAAAAAAAGGTGGGGGGAGGAGGCAGTGGGGGAAGAGAGAGAAGCTTGCATTATTTCCAGATGAGAGTGAGACTGGATGGTGTTTTAAAGTGCAACCGGGGAAAGCTACAAGTGGAGTGTTGTGATGTGTTCGGGTTTGTTGTTTTGTTTTGTTTTGTTTTAAGTCGGTACATTGAATGAAACTTTAATGACTGCCCAAATGAAAATAAATCTTAAGTCAGAACCCCCAAAAGGGGGAGAGGGGATTGGACCCTGCTGCGATCTCAAGATAAACAAAAACTGAAAACTGGTTCTTCAAGCTTCCCCATCCCACCCTCCCGCCATCCCCCTCCTCCAAACACTAGCTCCCAGTCCATACTTTAAGGTAAAACGCTGCTACAAGGTAGCACTTTCACTTTCATTTACTGGGAGAACGCCACTGGCATTGAACTGTGGGGATAATGCCCAAATATGTTTTCCATGTCCTAAGCAAGCAAACAGTCTGGCATACAAATCGGAAACAGAAAAAAAAAATGTGAAAATAGCTCAGGACAAATGTTGCCTTTCAGCAGTGTAATCTGCTGCATCATTTATCTGTCTCTACCGTTGACTGTAGGGTAGGGAGAAGTTTAAGAGTTTCCGAGGTTGGGGGGGTAGGGGGCGCAGGCAAAGGAGATTGACGCCTTGAAATTCCAGTCCTTAGTTAATGCCAAATCAATTTCCGATGGCCAAAACCAGAGAGGGGAATTGGACCGGAGAGAAGGGGGTGGGAAAGAGGATCTTTCTGAATACCAACTCTTAAATTTCAAGCTTCTGCTAACATTATCGCTCATTTGGTGGGTTTTTTTTTTTTTTTTTTTTTTTTTTTTTTTTTTTTTTGGTTTGGGTTTTTTTTTTCTTCCTACACCGGAGGTAGTAGGTGTAATTCTTCTGGTGAATACATGAATAGTTGGCTAAAAAAAGGCATGAATCAGACTGAGAAGGTCCAAGAATACAGTTATTTCCATTCTTTTTTGAGGACTGAAAGAGCAAAGCATCTGTCCACAGTCAATAGTCCTCATCTTGACCTTAATCAGTAGTACTTGGCTCAATGCCATTTAAAACTTAGAAATAGGAACTGTGGCTGGCATTGACAGATTTAAATAGTGATGATTTATAAGGAGATATAGATAGAGGTATTAAAATACATGAGATGGGTAATTAGCAATAGTTTTAAACATCAAAATAAGAACTGGCACATGTATTTTTGCATCAAACCACCCTTTAAATAGTTGTAAACTTTATCTTTTTTTTTTTTTTTTTTTTTTTTAAGAAATGGTAGCAGACACAACCAACACAGAAAACTAATGTTAGGTAGTAATCATCTACATAAGCTACCTGAATGTTTTAAAACTAAGACAAACTGCCCTAGGAAGTAGCAGCTCTGTAAAGGAAAGGTTTTTTATTCAGTGAAAACTGGACTTTCACTAATTACTTATTCAAAGAGTGCCATCCTGTGTCTAAATAGAGTAATGAAAATTTTCTAACAGGCTCCTTTTCTCGAAATGACTATAAGGAAAACTATATGTGTAAGGATGAAAAATTATTAACATGAGAAATGATAAACTATCCATTTAACTTTGTGGTTTTAATGGCCTTAAAGAAAACTTAAAACACACATGAAAACAGAAAAATGCAATGAATCTAAAAGTATCCATCATCCAGTTTCAATAGTATCTATCAACACATGACCAATTTTTTCTCATTACTTCCTTCTACCCACTGGATTATTTTAAAGTTAATTCCAGGTAATATTTATTTTTTAAAAAAGATTTATTTATTTATGCATACAAGAACTGGGGTACAGGCCAGAGGGGTAGGGGGTGAGAGGATTCACCAGAATGGGGAACATAACAGGCAGATTGACTGAAATACACTGCTGAGGGGAGCAGCAGGCAACACAGGAGAGGTCTGCTGCGCCATGTGGGTAGCTCTCTGGCCAGCAGGGGATCGAACTCAGGCTGCAGAGGCTGCAGATAGCTTCACAGCACCACACTTAACCCCTTGCGCCACCAGGAAGGCCCCCCCACCACGTAATATTTCATTGACTCCATTGAGAATTTCTCTATACTTTTAAAATACAAGGATTAAAAAATAACTACTATAATTACTCTTAAAACATTAATAATTCCATAAGTCAGTCAAATATGACATCTTGTCAACTGCAAATAAAGGCTTAAAAAACTTTATTGAAGTCAGTATCCATATGTCACTTTAGGTTGAGCTATCTCTTATGTCTTTCTTTTTTTGACTTTATATCAAAGTAGAACATTCATAGACAAAAGTACATAAATATAAAATGAAGAAAATGTGGGGTCTACTGAATTTTCAAAGCAAACTTGCTGGTGTAATCACATAACTCTTTTTATCTATTAGTTCCCCTTATTTTTTCTTTATCTTGCAATATAAATGGATTATTATGCTATCTTTATACTATATACAGAAATTTTAGTGCAATACCCTTGCATTAATTCCTAATTGAAATACAGGAAACATGTTCAACTGTGAATTTCAATTGCAGTAGAAAATTTTAGTGGCCAGTCTATACTCTGAAAATTTTCCCTCCAGCTTTTCTTTCTCAATTTAAGAAATAAGGATTATGGACGGAGTAGAGCTAATAGTAAATCTCCTACTTATACCTAAAAAGTCTTGCTAGCAGTCTTTAGAAGCCAGAAACCTACATGTACTGCAACTTTTCAGGAAATTTAAGGTGGACTACATGGAAATTTGGAAGTAGAATATGTATGTGTGTATGTGTGTGTGCGTGTGTGTGTGGTGTGTGTGTGTGTGTGTGTGTAAGAAAGTGAAAAACAGGAGGAACAGCTGAAGAGTTTGAAAACCAAACAACAAGGACTGAGGAACTTTCAGAGATAATGAAGATTGCTAATTTATATATTTTTAATTACATTATCTTGCAAATTTAATTTATTTTCTTTAAAACCAAGGCATTTCTTGAAATTAGACTGCTTTTATTTTCAGGAAAATGAGATAAAGAATTCTGACCTATGCCTACTGGGATTATTATATTGGAAGAAATAGTAGTAGACACAGCCAACACAGTCAAGATGGTGAATTTGGAATTCTACCTCCCAAACATTAAAATCAGATTAACCATGTGAAATTCTACTCACTCTCTAAACAGTATATTTATTCTTTCAATAATACTGAAGTTGAATTTGAACTAGTGAAAATAAAAATTTTCTAATATTTTGAAAAATTATTGTACAACTTAAATAAGGTGCAAAGCCTCAAAACATAGAGGAAAAGACTTATAAATTGAACTTACATTAAATGAAAATTTAAACCATTAAAATTGTAAATCTAAGCCAGAGATTGGAAGAACTTGCAACTCATATAAACCATAGTAATTACCTAGAATATTTAAAGAACTCTCATAAGTGTATAAGCCAAAAATTAATTGAAAATGACATAAAAAGAAAAGTCATAGGAGAAAAAAAGCCAATGACCAATAAATGAATGATAAGTATTCAATATCACTGAATGTTTCTCTTTCATATGAATTGGGAAAAGGTGTCCCAAGTTGATAAATATCAAGTATTGGGAAGGATTTGGTGAACTAAACATCTAACATAATGTTGGTGGAAGTATAAATTAAGTGCAAACAGCACACAAAGCAATTGGCAATAAAATGGAAGATGTGCGAAATTTTTGGTCCAGTCATTCCACTTTTAAGAATATGCTAGGAGAGGGCCTCCCAGGTGGCGCAAGGGGTTAAGCACCACAGTATGACGCAATCCACAGCTTCTGCAGCATGAGTTCGATCACCGACCCGCCAGGGAGAAACCCACATGGCGAGGCAGACCTCTCCTGCCTCACCCGCTGCTCCCCTCAGCAGTGTATTTCAGTCAGTCTGCCTGTTTCTGTCCCCCACTCTGTCTCTGGCCTGTTCTTGTATGCACAAATAAATAAATCTTTAAAATAAAAATATGCCATGAGAAACGTTTGCACATGAGAATTTCCATTAATAATTATGACAAGGCCCTCCCTGGGAGCCTAGGGTTTGTCTCAGTGCTATCACCACAAAGGCCTGAGTCCAATCCCAGCCAGGGAGCTACCCACATATGGTACAGCAAACCTCTCCAGTCTCTCCACTGCTCCCCTCAGCATTGCATTTCAATTAATACCTGTTCTTCTTCTCACTCTGTTTCTGGTGAATCGTCTCACCCCCCATACTTATGTCCTATACCCCAGCTCTTGTATGAATAAATAAAATAAATCTTTAAAAAAAAAAAGAAAATGCCAGGGCCTCCCTGGTGGCGCAGCGGTTGAGCGCTGGGTTGCGAAGCTGCCCGCAGCCTCTGCAGCGCCGGTTCGATCCCCGGCTGCTCCCCGGCCACCAGAGGAGGGTCCCACATGGCGCGCAGACCTCTCCTGCTGCCCACCGCTCCCCTCAGCAGTGTGTACTTCGGTCCTTTTGCCTGCTCTGCTCCCCGCTCTGGCTCTTGTGAATTCTCTCACCCTCCCGCGCTTCTGACTGTACCCAGTGCTTGAATAAATAAATAAATCTTAAAAAAAAAAAATGCCAAAGCGTAATAGGTCATTTCATTTACCATTGTTATTACAGTTATTTGGTAGTAATCACCAGGGTATTGTATAGAATTGTATATTATATAGAATCAAAGAAATGTTAATTATCTTAATACATATTTTACATTATATATAACATAATACATTAATAATTATATTTTTATTTTGGATTATAATTATATTATTAAATATTGTAATATTATAATTGTATTGACAAAAGCAATAAAGCAGTAAACTAAAAGTTAACTAAACAAAAAAGGAAAATAGGGGAATCAGAAATGTTAATGTAGATGCACAACCATATAGAACATATGGCAAGACTCAACAGAGTCATATTCAACTTGGCTGGATTTTCAACTAAACAGAGATTTAATTTCTCTCAAATCAATCCGTGCATACACATCAACTAATAGTGAAGTCAAATATAGTTTGTGGTAGACTCAAACAAATTTTGTTTTCAAATTAGGATGAAATCATCATCTGATGTGGAAAAGCTAGAATGTGATATTACTTTCCAATATTTTGCATTATCATATTTAAAACCTGGTGAAACAGAAACAAATCCTCAGTTCTGAATAGATATCTGTGATTTTCTTAAATGAAAAGGGAAAATAGAAATAGATCCCCAGAACTGAAACATTTCTCCATATAGGCTTTGAAACATCAAAAAGTTTCGAGGGCTGCAAGGTTAGGAGTACAAATCAAAACTGATTCTACTATATTTTGCTCATGATTAAGATCAAAAGATTCAGCAAATTATCTCACTATTCAAGCTTCAGTTAATGAATTAAATAAAGAGGCAATCATCATAGGTTTCTCTAAGTGCCTTATTCATGATACCATAGTGAAAAGACTCTTACCAGTAGATCTATAAAATGTGAAACAAAGTCCAAATGAATCAAGTTATTGCCTTTATATATTTCTTCCTATATTTTTCAACACAGAGAGTTTCACACACAATAGTATTAATTGTTCTGTGGAATTACGATAAGGCTTACACTGCCAAAACCATTTTTCCCTTCTTCAGTAATTTCAAAGAATAAAAACTGCTCATTCCTTCAACTCCCAACCGAAGTATTCTAGTTAAGTATTTTATATGTCATTTCCCCATAAAAGAACTAACAATCTCTAAAATACACCAGTATTTGTGTTTTCTATAGAAGGGGCATCGTATATGTACACTATCATTTGATAACTTTAAAAAAAGATTAAGTATTTTATTTAAGGTAAGCAAGAAACTTAGATTATATACAGTAGAAAGCATTTTCAAATAGAGCAGCAAGTCTCTTGAGAAAACAAATGATATTAAATATTAAATGGGCTTGGAATTTTTTAGGTTAGCTTACATTTTCTAGCTTAGCCTGATTAAGACACACAATAATTCATTTTGAAAAGGTCCTATTTGTTAAAATATGCCACATCACAAAAAAACTAGAGATTTTTAGATGAGAATTTTATTTACAGAAAAGTCATGAGAATTAACAAAATTTGATGAACACAATTTTGTTAGGAAAAATCAACAAAATCAAAAGTACTTTAATATATAATATCATTTGTTATGTAATACATATTAAAATATAACTTCCATACTACTTTTCATATCATAGTTTTTCATATTTAAATTTTTAAGAAATCTAAACATAAAGCAGTATACATGGAACAAATTTTCTAACTAAATTATGCTGCTTTCTACATTAGATATATCGATTTTAAAACCACTGCAAATTAAATGCTTTTTCATTTTAATTCCTAAATTTAAAGGAGGTGAGTACCAAAAGGAACTAAAAATGCATAAAAGAAACAGTCATAAATTTTAAAAGGAAAATATAACATTAGCAATATCATTAAGTAACTAAAGAATTTTCAAAACAGGTTTGCAGATAAGGTACATTAATATTTATAATGATTATGTCCAAGATATTTTTCACTTGTATTCTTGTCCATACAGTTTAAAATACCAAAACACAGACTGAGTGAGAAAGGATTATTTTTAAATTAATAAAAGATGGCAGCATGTGTCAGTTTAAGTATAAAAGGAAAATGGACTATGATCTTTGATTTGAAAATACGGTGCTTTAGCCAAGTAATCCTCAGTGCTTCCATTATCATTGAATGACGAGATTCTGTAAAGTCTGGGTGGAAAAGCGACCATTTTTTTACTGATGGAAGGCTTCTAATCTTATTCGGGTTGGATCTTCTGGATGTCTCAAAGCAATTCCATTACGCAGGAGCAGTTCAATATAAGGTGGCCAAAAAGAATCACTAATTTTGACATATGGATCATGTGGAACATCAAATAATCTATTTAAAAGAATCTAGGAAAAAATGTCATTGAAATTATATCTTACTTGTGAAAAATGACTTAGCTGGAAAAAACATCAAAATTATTCATCAAAGCATGTTGTTGTTTTTACTCTTTGAATAACTGTTTATGTCATAATTTGTGTGTTAACATAATTTTCTTTTTTAAAAGACAGTGATATTAAAAGCTTTAAAATGAATAAAAGCTTTAAAATGGGGCCTCCCTGGTGGCGCAAGGGGTTAAAATGCAACCTATGAAGCTATCTGCATCTACTGCAGCACAAGTTTGATCCCCAGCCAAGGAGCTACCCACATGGTGCAGCAGACTGCACCTGACTCGCCTGCTGCTCCCCTCAGCAGTGTATTTCAGTCATTCCTCGTTCCGTTCCCCACTCTGTCTCTGGTGAATCCTCTCACATTCGCACCTCTGGCCTGTACCCCAGTTCTTGTATGCATAAATAAATAAATCTTTAATAAAAAAAAAGCTTTAAAATAAATCTCTGCATCTTAACTCTGAAAATATTTCCTAAAAACTAGTTAAGGGGCATATACAATTCTCCCACTTCTCTTGGGATAAAAACTTCTTTAGAAATTTGGTTATAACTTCTTAAAAATAAAAACCAGAAATTTAAACATTAAAAAATTATGCATCAAATTAAAAAAACAATATACAGGGCCTCCCTGGTGGCGCAGGCGGTTGAGCACAGCGCTGTGAAATTGTGCACAGCCTCTGCAGCGTGGGTTTGATCCCAGCCAGGGAAGTACCCATATGGTGCAGCAGACCTCTCCTGTCTCGCCTGCTGCTACCCTCAGCAGTATATTTCAGTCAGTCTGCCTGTTCTGCTCCCCACTCTGTTTCTGGTGACTCCTCTCACCCTCCCACACATCTGGCCTGTACCCCGGTTCTTGTATGCATGAATAAATAAATCTTGGGGCCTCCCCAGTGGCACGGCAGCTGAGTGCTGGGCTGCAAAGCTGCCCGCAGCTTCTGCAGCGCTGGTTCGATTCCCGGCTGCCAGTGAGGGTCCCACATGGTGCGTAGATCTCTCCTGCCACCCCCACTGCTCCCCTCAGTAGTGGATATTTCATCAGTCTGCCTGTTCTGTTCCCTGCTCTGGCTCTGGTGAATTCTCTCACCCACACTTCTGACTGTACCCAGTGCTTGTATAAATAAATAAATAAATCTTTTAAAAAAAAAAAATATATATATATATATACACACACACATATCTTAGCATTGTAAGAAAAAGAAATCACCAACTATACCCCCATCAGCAAAAAAAACCCCACCTATTCTGAAAAATCTTCAGAACAGTAGTTTTAGCATCATTTCCTTCAACTTTATCTTGAATATTTTTGGTTTCTTTTTTTTTTATTATTAAATATTGTACTTATTTATACTAGGACTGAGGTACAGGTCAGAGGCACGGGAGGGTGAGAGAATTCACCAGAGACAGAGTGGGAAGCAGAACAGGCAGACGGACCGAAGACACTGCAGAGGGGAACAGTGGGCGAGGCAGGAGAGGTCTGCCACGCCATGTGGGTTTCTCCCTGGCCGGCCGGGAAATGAAACTGTGCTGCAGAGGCTGCGGACAGCTTTACAGTGCGGCGCTCAACCCGCTGCGCCACTGGGGAGGCCCTATTTTTGGTTTCTTGCCAACGTTTCTTGTCAACATCAAGAATGTTGACAAGTCTCGAGCATTCATACTAAATTACATAGGCTAACATTTCCCAAACTGCACCCCATAGAATTGGTCTTAAGGATCTTCTTAATCTTGAAAACAGATTTCTATGGTCAAATAAGGGGAAGGATTGCTAATATGCACTGACTGTCCCCTTTCCTTCCCAAATCTAATGCATTAGTTAAGCTTTTCAAGAAACACAGATTTAAAATTCTTTGAACACTAATGTTTTATGAAACATACTGGAAAATGCTAAATATATATGGATTATTACCCCTTTCCCTCAACAAATTTCCAGTATCTTCACAAATTACAAAACCTGAATACAAGAAAGTTAAGAGATTCCTCAATAGGTCATAATTAGTGACAGGTGATGGCCTAAATTCCTTATCGCTGAACTACCAAGTCCAAGCATTAATTAAAAGACAGTAGCTTGGGCCTCCCTGGTGGCGCAGCGGTTGAGCGCTGGGTTGCAAAGCTGCCCGCGGCCTCTGTGGTGCCGGTTCGATCCCCGGCTGCTCCCTGGCCACCAGAGGAGGGTCCCACATGGCGCGCAGACCTCTCCTGCCGCCCACTGCTCCCCTCAGCAGTGTACTTCGGTCCTTCTGCCTGCTCTGCTCCCTGCTCTGGCTCTGGTGAATTCTCTCACTCTCCCGCACTTCTGACTGTACCCAGTGCATGTGCAAACAAACAAACAAATAAATAAATAAAAAACATGTCTCTATTAAAAAAAAAATAAAATAAAAGACAGTAGCTTAAGTAACATGAAAAAAAGAAAAAGCATAATGTACACAAATATAAAGTGCCATAGAAGTATAATTAACCTGATGCTCTTATTTCAATCATTTTTCATAATAATCATTTCATAATGTCAGTATCTCAGCTCTTAAAATGAATTTTCATCTACCATTAACTTTAGCTATTTCAGGTTTCATATCCTGGTAGAAAAAAGGTTTTGTCTTATTTCAGAAATGACTAATGCTAAAAATCCAACTTTAAAAAGAACATGTGTATTGTTCTACTTTTCATTGATTGCAGTTTAAATACTGGCTTACTTTTATTATTGATAACACACCTTGCAAACGAAATGGTTTCAAAATCCAAGTTTTAAACTTTATTCCATAGCACATTATTCAAAAAAAATTACACATGCATTTCTCAGTTACTACTTATAATATTTGCTAATATATGACAATTTTTATTCAAGAAAGCTAAGTCATCCATGAGAAATATTAGTTTTTCAGTTTCAGTATTAGCTGGGATAACTAGAATTATGTTAAAATGCTCTAACCACAAAACTAATCAATATTTTTATTTTTCTTCTCTTACCATTCAAAACTACTTAAATGAATAAAAGTAGACTTTAGCAGCCAAATCATACAAGCACAATGAAACAAATCACTTTCTTTTAAACTTACTAGTAACTTAAAAAAGGCACATTAATTGTTAAATAACCTTCTCTTCAGACTATATTAATTTCCTCTTTTACCAATTTGCAATGGATTGTCAAGTCAAGATCTAAAATATTGGCAATATATGTTAATTTGGCTTGAGTTCAAATACATTTTTTAAAAAGTCAAAGATATTTACAAAAGAAAGTAACTGTCAAGCAGAAAATGTTGGGATTACTCAATAGTTAACATTATTTTATAAAAGAGGCTGATGTTATTTAATGAAAAATTATACACAAAATTCTGCAACTTTGTGGGAAGAATCCTTAGACTCACTTACGCATTTTATATAGGATACAAAGTTGTCAACTAAAGATTTCCCAGATAAAAATTGGTATATGCCTTAAGAACTAAAGAAGTATGCTTTTTCAAGCTTGTGTAAAATTGTTCACATATCACTACTTCAGAGACATCTTCAGAGAAAATAACACAAAACACTTACCTCTAATATTTCATGCAGTGTTATCAGCTCCATAGCTGAGTCTTGAATGTTTTTCTTTGACAGAAATATGAATAAAAAATTAACATTTCAATTCTGCCAATAGCAGAATATAGATGATAAAATTAATATTTCTTAATTGTAATGGTTAAAAGTATCCTAAAATCAAACATTTATAATTAAGCGATTTTATCAGAATTCTGGGCATAAACAACCTGCTTGTACTAAACAAGCAGGTGTATAAAAGCAAAGTGAAATTTTATCCAATTTTAAGATACAATTCAAACTATAAATATATAATAGACATTATTGTTATTCATATTATATACACTCATATAAAAGAAAGTCCAGTGTTTGAAACCCTAATCAAAATATCACAATGGCATCCCAGACTGTATTTATACAGCTTCAGGAAAGGAAACTTACTTCCCAGGGGGCCTTGTTCATCTTTCTACAGTTGTTATTTTCTTTTTCTTTTTTTTTTGCATAGAAGAACTGGAGTGTAGGTCAGAGGTAGAGGGGAGTGAGAGGATTCACCAGAGACAGAGTAGAACAAGCGAATTTACTGAAATACACTGCTAAGGGAAACAGCAGGCAAGACAGCAGAAGTCTGTCGTGCCATAAGTAGGTTAGCTCCCTGGCTGGATCACACTTAGGGGATCTCAGGTGATAGCATTGAGAGTTAACCCGTAGCCACCAAGGAAGCCCTTTCTATATTCTTGACAGTTCCGCAAGTTAACTCAACTCACTTGGAATAACAGAGAATATATCTCATTCAATTCCATCCAAAAGTTCCTCAAATAGTTGAAGACAGCTAATATGAGTCCCAAGTCTTCTCCATACTAAGCATCATTAGTTCCTTCTATTGTTTTTCAATGCCATTGACTTGTGTCCCTCTCATCATGGTTGTTCTCTCAGTTTGTCCTAATTTGCCCTTTTTTAAAATCCAGCCTCCACAATGATCTAAGTATGTTTCCAACAACAAAGATGAAAAGAACACTCATTCTCATACTTATATATGCTGATATTCTATTAATTAAATTTAAGAATTCATAAGCTATTTTACCCTGATGACCTCTATCCGAGAATACTGTTATCCAAAATGCCAGTCTTTTTCATACACGTACCTAATATCTTCTTTATTCCTCAATGTGTAAACCCAAGAAAGATATTCTATGAGTGCTACCAAGTATTTTATTTTCTTTGGCCTAGTTCCTGATCCACTGAAAAGTATATCTTATGTCTATTATCAAATACTTAATATTTAACCCTTTTAATTTCAATATCATTTGCAAACTTTGATGACTATGTCTTCAACTTCTTTATCCGAATTACTGTTAAAAATGTTCAATTGAAAAAAATTCTAAGGGAAACTGCTAGAAATTTCCTTCCCAGATAATACTAATCCTAATTAGCAGCTTTTGATTCAGACATTCAACTAATTGCAAAGTTACCTACTGCAGAGGCAATCTGTACTTTCTTGATAACAGTGAAAGATTACCATGGAGCCTTCATAAGGTCTTACAGAAAGACAAATATATTAAAGAATTAGTAAGATAATCCTAACAAAAATAAATGTGATTCTTAAGTAAAGAGATCCAGTAAACTTGGATGTCAAAATCTTCTGATCCCTTAATACTTTATTAAATGAAAGAGTGGTAAGAATCAGCATATGACACGTTTGTGATGAAAGGACTGAGACAATCAAAAAAAATGCAGAGGAAAAATACAATGAAAGGAAGTAAAAAAGAAAATGTTTCAAAACAGGGACATGAGAAACAATAGAAGATATAAAAAAATAAAATTTTCATGAAAAAGAAATATGAACTAAATCTGCCCCTGGCTGGCCTTAGGAACCTGAACAAGCTCACATTAGTCTGAAAAATGAAAGAGATCAATAATGACTCTTCAGTGATTGTAACAGTTTTGTAAAAGGAAAAGAATGAGCAAAGGTTACTGAGCACCAGGTTATGAAATTCAAGACATGTCTAACTATATTGAGCATAGTTGGAGTCTTGGAGAAATGAGATATGAACAAAAAAATCTGAATATTAGATTTAACATTGGGAACATTATTTTCATGGTCATTGAACAGTCATTGTTCTCTAAATGACAAGCTGACATGGTGTCTATTCATTTGGAGGCATTTTGCTGTAAAATGGGTAGACTATTCTGCTATTAACATGGGAGATGATATAAATGTCAGGACAAGAAAAGCTTTCTGTTTAGTTTCTTTTCAAACTTGGAATATCTGGACATATTTACAGACTCTTTGAAATAATTCAAAAAAGAAAAGCAAATAAAGGAGAAAAAATAATTTTAAGAATTATGTCCTTTCAAGAGGCAAATAGGATGGGATCCAGAGGAGAGTGGAAATATTATACTATCATAATATTAATGGGAAATAAAATATGAGATAGTGCATGTCATTCTAATTATACTTAGGATTCAGTGTTGTATATATGTATAACCCAGCTTAGATGCACACATTTATTCCTCCATATTATTTCCACCTGTATGTTCCTTAACCAAATTAAATTGATGATGCACTAAATATTTCTTTAGAAGTCTTCTAAGCTTCATTAGGTGTCAGTTCCTTCAACAGAATAGATCAATTTAATAATGATTTATAGTATCCTTGATCTCTTATTTATTTTATCTCCTATATCAAATTTAGGTCTTTCAGTTAACCCCCTAAAATATATCACATATTTTAATACTCTTTTCAAGTGTTGCCATCCTTGATATTTCTAAAATGGAATTCTGTAGCAATTGATATCTAGGTTTCCACTTACTGTATTTTACAAGACAGCCTCAAAATACAAAAAGATTCATTTTAAAACATTAAGAAAATATTGATTTTTCTGCTAAGCATTGTGTCCTTCATAGCAAATAGAATAAGGTGCAATAGACTGTCTTTTATTTAGAAGGAAGTCTAGGCATGCTCCAAGACTCCAGAAACTTCGGAAATTTTATCTATACCAATGTTCTTACCACTTTCTTATTTGATCTAATTAACAATATAACAGAACAATGTGATATTCTATATCTCATATATATATCCAGATCTCATTGTACTATTTTATGGCAAAGGCAAGAGACTTAATGTAGTCTTTTGACTAGTTGATAAATTAATATCCATGAAATAGACTCTAAGGACAGAGAGATTTCCATGTAGGAATACTTGTGGGAAATACTGATATTTTCAGAAGCTGTGGGAAGTTTAGGAAGCATTTTGAGCAGGGAAAAAGTCAGTAGCGGGCATCCCCGGTGGCGCAGTGGTTGAGCGCTGGGTTGCGAAGCTGCCCGAAGCCTCCACGGCACCAGTTCGATTCCCGGCTGCTCCCTGACCACTGGAGGAAGGTCCCACATGGTGTGCAGACCTCTCCTGCCGCCCACTGCTCCCCTCAGGAGTGTACTTCGGTCCTTCTGCCTGCTCTGCTCCCGGCTCTGGCTCTGGTGAATTCTCTCACCCTCCCACGCTTCTGACTGTACCCAGTGCTTGTATAAATAAATAAATAAATCTTTAAAAAAAAAAAAAGGATTAAACTCAAAAAAAAAAAAAAAAAAGTCAGTAGCTATGCAGTCATACAGGAAAAGTTGGTTGCCTATGAAGTAATACAAAAGCCTCAGCCAATCTCAAGAATTCTAGAGATGCAAGACTATGCAAACTTGTCTACATCAAGACTAAGAGGCTATGCCCTTTTAACCATTTACTGTCCAGTAATTGGATGAGTGCTACCTATAAGGAAAGGAACTTTTCTTTACAGAGGTAACTCACTTTGGCTAAAGTCAATGTTTCAAAGGAGAATCACCTATGAAAACACAACAACCACATTCCCATTTCACTAACTCCTTTAACAGAGTTCAATAGATTATTTTTAAAAGCTGCATTTAAATCATATAAATATAATATAAAAAATGGAATTTAATTCTAGCTTGCTTCTAATATTTCAGTAAATATATTGATACTTCTATACATATATCTTTGTGAGTGTATATTATAAACATACAAAATATATCAGAGAATTTACATTTGAACCATCCGAAACAAGTTCACATATGAAAAAATACATGAATGTCTTCTCCAAAACTTACCTTTTTCTTTTTAACACTTCTATCGGGCAGAGGAAAATGGTCTTCTAGAAACTCACCCAAGGTAAACAGGAGTTTTTTCTTATATTCCTTTATATTATTCATTTTAGTTTTCAGCTCATTAAAGATTCTAATAGAATTTAAAAAAATAAGAGAAATATGTCACTGGTGAATATATAACTATGTGTAACCGATCACTCAAAGCTAATCAAAAACATTGTTCAAACTTCATTTGCTAAAACCAAATAACTGTCTTTATGAAAGCAATAGTCTCTGTTTAACATGTAGTGAAACTAAATGTACAACCAATTCAAATCATTCATAAAAGACTGTATAGGTAATAGTTGGCAAAAGTTAGGTAACTCATGATTTCTAGTAAAATTTATCATATTTTCAGATATGTAACATAAAAGAAAAATACTTTTTTTCTATTTTTATAAACCCGGAACACGAAATACCTTGATTCAGAAAACGTGACAACCTCATGTTTCAAGTCATTGTATACTGCGTTAAGGGATTCCAGTATCTGTTGCTGTTCATTCAACCACTGTTGTTCCCTTTAAACATGGAAAAACAAAACAAAGAAATAGAAAATAAAACACTAACACTAATTTAACATGCATCTATGGTTAACAGTAATTATAATGTAAATATACCTTTCCAGGTTTTCTTTTAACTTTTCATTCTTTGACTGAACAGTAGATAGTACCAATTCAAGATCATGTCTCAATTTTTGGAACTAGAACAAAATAATAAAATAAATTGCTTAGTTTGTAATCTTATAAACAGCTGTATATCTTCATAATAGTAAAATTTACATACACTCCTAAGAAAGAGTCAGAAATTTATGAAGATATCCTAGAAAAAAGCATTTGAAAGGTAAATATACAACAGGTATGAAGTAATTATAACATCTGTTGAACTAAAAAACTTAAGAAGGGGTTTAGCAACATATTTTACTTTCATATTGAAAGGTAGTTTAATGGAGAGCTTTCAGTAATCAGGTAGATCTGTCTTTTCTAAGGAGATCATGCAAGAACAAACAGAAATGAGTATCATTCATTCAACAAATATTTACTGATCAGTTAATGAGTACCAGGCATTGCTGTAGTCAAAGAGGAACAGAATTTCTAAACACCCAAACTAGTGTCCTGAGTCCAGACCCTCAATAGTTTAAGTCTTCATATTACATACCTCCAGTTTTCATGTGTGTAGTAAAAAGTTAGCTACTTAATTTAAAAAGAGAGAGAAAGAAAAGGTTGAACAGTCTATGTCTGATTCTAAATAACCTTGTTCTTAGCTCCCCACTAGATCCTAAATTTGCAGTACCAGTTTCATATAAATCCCAAGCCTTTCCTCGATTCTATTGAGTACATAATTTTTTTTCACTATTTCTGTCTCTAGCACAGAGATATCTTTCCATACTCCACAACCTTGTTGAAAATTCTGATTTGCTTCTATCTTATGCCTTATACTTTGACCTAATGGACATATGCATTAAGAACATGTTTTTATAGACATTAATATTATTTTGAGAAAGAAAAATTTACATTTATAGACAATTAGCTATGTTTAACCCTTTTTGCTTTACTTATGAGGAAAGTTTCATCAACTGAATATAAGACTTACATATTAAACATTAGAATAGTTACAAAATAAAAATTGAGCTCAAAAATTCAAATCTTTTTACACTAATTCAAAGGGGAATATACACTCCTATGTTCATTGCAGCCAAAGACAAAGAAGTAGATCAGAAAAATGTGGGTGATACATACATACACGCTTACGCACATATGAGGTAACTATATATATGTCTGTACTTACATATAGAATATAATGAATATTACTCAGATATAAAAAAGATGGCCTCCTGCCATTTGAGACAACATGGATGGCCCAGAGAAGATAATCCCAAGCAAAATAAGTCAGGAGAAAGACAAATACCAGAAGGTATCACTCTTATATGCAACAAAAGGTCACACAAAACCAAACCAATAACCAACCCTTGACATCTAACTGCAAAGCAAAGGCAATCAGAAGGAGTGGGTTGTGGGAATGAAAGTAGGGCCCAATGGAGCATAGTGAAGGATTATCCGGGTTTAGGTGGTGGGCCCAGTATGAAAGCATATATTTGGACATTTGGGCCTATAATCCCTAAAACAAATAAGATGATATAAACCAACTCTACCTCAATAAATACAATTGGAAAAAAAAATCCTATTGTTTTAGATATTCTGTTCAATGAAACATAAATAAAATTTAAAATTTATTTGGTTTTAAAGTTATTTCACCATACTTCTTATATCATGAACTTACCCAAGAAACTTAAGAGTTATAAATTATTTGGAGTTACTACAAATTCATTAAGTAACTTACCTCTTCTTTTCCCAATGTTGTCAAAACTTCTTCACTCAATGGAATTACTAAAGAACAAAACAAACCAAAATTATACATGTACTTAGTTAATGCTCCAAAATCAAGAATTAAACTTTATAGCTTCTAATATACCACTTTTCATGTATATAAAGCTTCTTATGACTACTGTATACTTTTTATGAAATTATTTTTATTTAACTTCTTTACAAATATAATTTTAGATAAATGTGATTATACTTAATCACATTTTGGTTTTGGTTTTAGTACCATTTTCCTTTATTTTGTTTTCCAAATACCTCAAAAGAAAAATTAATAATCTATAGTGTATTCCTCAAATATTTCTTTCTGTAGTCATGATCCTGTGCAAACATATATACACATATTTTCCATAAAATGGAATATTATTCAGACTTTAAAAGGGAGAAATTCTCACACATGCTACAACATGGATGAACCTTGCAGACATTACATTAAGTGAAATAAGCCAGTCACAAAAAAGACAAATACTGTATGATTTCATTTATGTGATGTATCTAGAGTAGTCAAACTCATAGAACAGAAGTAGAATGGTGGTTGTCAGGAAATGGAGTGAACAAGAAAAAGGAAGTTGTCATTTAATGGGGAGAGTTTCATTTGCAAGATGAAAATGTTTACAGAATTGCTCAACAATAGTGACTGTATTTAACATTATTGAATTGCACACATGAATATATTTAACATGGTAAATATATGTGCATTTTAGCACACTAAGAAACTAAAATAAAACTTTAAAAAGAAAAAGTTAGGAATTCAGGTTGACTATAACAAAAGATCTAACATTCATGTCATTAGACTCCCAGGAAAGGAAAGAGAGTAAAACTAAAAAAAAAATTTGAAGAAATAAAAGTTGAAATTTTGCCAGATATAAATCTATGCTTAAGAATTGAATAAAACACAAAAAGGATAGGCCCAGAAAAATCCATGCCAAGATACATAGTAATTAAATTTTTGACAGCAAAAGACAAAGAGAAATCTGCAAAGCAATCAAAGAAAACATGTCTTCCCAAAAGAGGAAAAACATAAGAGTGACAGTATATTTCTTTTCAGTAACCACGGAGACAAGACTTTATAGAGTGATAAAAGAAAATAATTTAATCCTGAATTATATATCCAGTAAAAATATCCTTCAGGAATGAAAAAGAAATTAAGACATTCTCAGGTAAAGAAAAACTAAGAGACTCTGTCATAAGTAGAAATACCCTAGAGAATGGTTAAATGAAGTTCTTGAAACAAAAACATTAAAAGAAGGAATCTTGGAACATCATAAAGAAAGAAAGAACAGAAAGAGCAAAAATGTAAAATGAAGCCACTGTCACAAGGAAATTATTCTGTCAGTATCGAGGTGGCTTGGAAGTATATTTCTTTCCAATTGAGACTTTGGTGAGAATCTTTCATTGTAACCTCAAGACCTCTAAGCAGAGGAGCCAGCTAAGCTATGCCTAGTCTCCTGACCCAGGAAACTGTGAGATAATAAAGGTATGCTGTTTTCTAAAGCTGTCCCAAAAAGTCCAAAACAAGGCTAGAAAATGATGATAATTGTGAAAGCTGTTGTCTCAGTTTATTGAGTTCATTATATTATTCTCTTATCTTCCTTTAAATTTGAAAATTCCTACAATTAAAAAACAATCTATGTTAAGAGCTGAAAAGTCTGTTATAATAATCTAGTGGGTTTCATGACAGAGCCTAAAAAGTAAATCTGTGGCAGTAGGGCTCAGTATTTAATATCTAGCAGTATGTAAATTATGAATAAGAAGAATCTAGAAGGACTCCTAAATGTATAGTTAATCAAATAGATTCCATTTAATGGATCAGGAAATAGAGATCAGTTCATGAATCTGAGACTTGTATAGCACATTTTTTAAAAGATGCCTAGAAGGGAGAAATATATAAGTGTAATATTACAGAGAAGTACGGTTTGGATATAAAGATTTAAAAGTTGTAAGAACATTGTGTCCTTCCCAAATATGCAAGATGAAGTTCTAACACCCATCTGATTGTATTTGCAATTGGGTCTGTACAAAGGTAATTAAGTTAAAATGAGATCTTTAGGTTAAGCCCTATTGCAACATGGTTGATGTCCTTACACAAACAGATTATAAAGATGGGCACAGAAGGGTGAGGATTCAGGGAGAAGACAGCAATCTATAAGCCAAAAGAGGTCTTAGAAGTAACCAACCCTGTCAACACAGACACCTTGACTTCTAGCCTCCAGAATTGTGAGAAAATAAATTTCTGTTATTTAAGCAAACACTAACCCATAGTAGTTTGTTATGGCAGCCCCTAGCAAACTTATACAGAAGCCATCAATACAGATATAAAAACAGGAGCAGAATATACAATGCTGGAATACCATACAAAGCTAAAAGAACTAAGCACTATCCTCTGAAAAACACCAACATTTTGACATCTGAGTATGAGCAATTTTTTAGATGTTCAATATAATACTGAGTAGGCAATAGGATATACAGTTTAATGCAAATAAAAATCACAATTGTATATGTATTTGTCACAAGTGCTAAAATTAAAAATACCAGGTGGTAGGAAGATGTGGAACAATGGCAGACAATGGCATGAACATAGTAATGAAGAGAGCAGATAAAATAGTCTAGGTAAGGAAAATGAGAAAAAAAGAATCCCAAGACCTGAAATAGAGAATGATAAGCCCACTAAGGGAAGTGTAGGGAGTTAAAGGAAACAGAGTAAGTACAAGAAAGGATAAGGGAGACATTAAATGGAAAAAGAGGGTACAATTCATATGAACACTAAGTACAACATATATATAGCATAGAAATGTAGACTTTGCTTAGTGGTTATTAAAACTACATCTGTTTAAGCCTTCTACTTCTCAACTAAAGGCAAACATAGAGTTGGCCTCAGTCAACAGGGGATATGTAATCTTTTTTAGCCTTATGTAATTGTCTAAAGTAGAAATCTTTTCTATCATGTAAGTTTCATTCACTAAGAGACAATGTAGTTTCTACCCAGCATATAAGACTATGACGATAAAATGAGGGCTCTAATATTTCATAATCAAGGTTACTATCCCTAATGTGAGACAGACACATTCCTCTATAATAAACACAAAATAATGGCGTGAAGAAAGGAAAAGGTGGCTTCCTAACAGCAATGGAATTTGATCAATTTCAAGATGGCTAAATGGATACTATAATTCTTGTGATCATTAAATTAATTTGTCATTAGCTCTTCTATAAAAATGTAAATTTAAAAATAAAACTCTTACTTTCAGGAGTTTCTTTCTGCCATTGGCTAAGTTCGGCTGTCAAACATTTCACTTGCATAATTAATAAGGACAGCTATAAAAATAGAGTAAAAAAATCATTTCTTGTGGAATATTCATAGTAATTTTTAGATGAAAGTGTAGACCTTTTCAATACTTTAATACTAGTTCTTAAAACAAATTTCTGGTATAATAGCCCTCAAAACCAAAAAAAAACATCACTCCAAACAGAAATCTGCTTTAAACCATACTAATTACATTCATAATTATAATGGTGATAAGTATTAAAAAATGGTAACTTCTGCACTATCATTCAACCTAAAGTAAAAGAACCTAAGCATGTTAAGTTTGTATTCTAAACATGTAATTCTTTAAAAACTGGATATCCTTTCTTGTCAGTACATTTGCATCAAAGTTGTTCTTTTTCTTCTGTGCCCTTTCAGAAGAATTGCCACTATTTCTAGCTAAGTAGATAAAAATAAATTTAAATATACAATACAGAGACCATTTAAAATGAGACCACATCCACAGTCACCCATAAAAACCAACTTTACTACACAATAATTTGTAAGTTATATACCCCATCATCCTTTTCCTTTGCTAATTTTACTCTGTATCCTTTCAATGTAATCAATCTCATGGATGAGGATGACTATACAATAGTCCTGTGAATCCTCCTAAAGAATCACCAACCTGGAAGTAAACTTGAGAGCTCTCAACACAAAAGGAAACCACAATTTTTGGTTTCTTTGGAATAAGCAAAGTTATTATTGCTTATCTGAAAATACTAAACATTGACAAACTACATGAGCACTTCGCTCCAAGATAATGCTTGGCTTACTGGATGAAAATCATACAATAAATCTATAGGCCTCATCAGTGATTCTGATTCAGTAGGTCTCAATTTCTACAAAATAGTAAGAACCACATTCACCAAGGAAATCAGATTATAGTTTATTTACTGTATAAAGCATTTCTAAATATAATATCTAGTTTTACCCTGTACAACACAGCTCCATATTTATCGATGGATAATTTTTTTTTTTTTACAAAGATGTTTAATCCTTTATCATCAATTTTAAGATTAAAGATCTGGTGGAACAGGTACTCTCAAAAGTGACAACTTAGTTTTTCTTCTTTGACCCATCTTTCCCTTTCTCATTTTTCACTAAGTATCATTAGAGCACATATTTTTCTTCATATTCTTATAATCAATTACGGTCATTATTTCCTTTTGAAGGTTAAATGCTACCACATTTGGAGACAGGAGAGTCTTCCATCAGTAACCATATCTTTTGACATGCTCCCAACAGTTCTAGAGAAATTTTATTGGAATCAAATGTATTTTTCACTTTGTTCCTAGAATTCTTCATTAAAGGATTTTAAATTTTTATATGGCCAAGTAGATCTAAGTTTTTCTTTTTCTTGTTAATTATTTGACGAAAAAGTTCCCACTGTACCTAGATTGCAGAGTCTCAGAGCTTTTCTTCTATTATTGTTGTATGCACAGACTAGGAGCTATTCTCTCTCTCTCTCTCTCTCTCTCTCTGATATTTTAAATTCTTACAGTTACCAATTGGCATATTCCTAAGCCAATTCCACAACTCACTGATTACTATTAAAAAATCATAATCTCTTTTTAAAATCTAAGATAAAATCAGTTAAGATAAAATAAACCGTAATTACCGCACCTAACACAAAGCAGGACAGTCTCTTTTCTAATTTTTAACAAGGTATCATAACAGACAATGAGTGATTCACTTAATAGTTAAATGTATACATAGCAATTAAAAGATAAATAATAATAAAGTATTCTTATTTTTTATAATAGCTTATTCAAAAAGTGTTCATAGTACTACCAACTCTTCAACTACAAACAGTAATTAATAAAGCTATTATACTTGGGATAAACAGATGCATTTTTATGCAAAACACAATGAATTCCACTTATCTATTTTTAGAAAGGAAAAATAGTTTCATACCTGAGCATTTTTATCATTGAGTGTCTCGGTTCCAACAAGGGATAATTTATTCTGACACTTGATTTAAAAAGCAAAGGAAAACAAGTCATACACTATAACCCACAGATAATTCCCTTCTCATCCCCATTGTACCAATGTAATATTCCTCTAAAACAAATACAAATGTGTGATAAGAAAAGTTTGTTTAACCAAGATAAAAATGTACATTGTGCAAAAATGAAAAATGATGTAAAAAATATATAAAATAAAAAGTTTGTTTAAATTCCTCACTTTCTTAAACAAAAGCATCAGGAAGGCAGTCAAATAAGTCCCAAGGTAAGTAAAAGAGGATACTAGATGCTACACAGAATGAAAAATAAAAAATGAGCATAAAAATAAGGAAAAAGAATGAAGATTAGTAATTACATGGAATAGAAGTTAGCTATGGGTGGGAAAAGAAGAGGAAAAGTACTATGGGAAAAAAAAGGTAGTTACTATCTTAAGAAAATAAGGCCTTTAGAGAACATTGTTCCTGTGCCATTAAAAAATCCACAGCTGTTAACAGTGATTATATCTAAGAAGTAAAAACATAGGAAATTTAAGTTTTATTTGTGCTTATTTCTACTTACAGTATTTTTCTACAAAAAAGTTTTTAAAGTTATTTTTACACTTGATCTTAGCCAAAAGGCTGAGAAGCGACAAGTTCTTTTTAAATTGAAGGTTCTATATTAAAAAAATATCAAAAGCAAACAAATGGGTTGGATTACACATATCTTAAAAAAACACATGGATAAAAATAATGTACCAAGAATTTATGATAAAAAACTGAAAAAAAAAAAAAAAAAGGAAAAGGAAAATACCTACTAATCTCTGCCCTAACCTGAAATTTTACTAGGAAAAATAAGATTATAAAAATGTCCATAGCCTAGATAATACATAACACTACATTAAGTAGAACAAAATTTTACCAATACACTGTAATGGACCAAAGGTGGTTTTAGCTAACTGAGAAATTGTATATACATTTCAAAATGAGTATATCCTAAATTAATTTATGTTTTCATGCAAGCTCCTTAATTATGCATTCTTCCTACTTCTATAATTATCTATTTTGGGAAACAACCCCACCAACCACCAATGATCAGAACCAGAAACTTGAAACTATTCATAATTCCCATCTCACAATCAACCTCCAAGACCTTTTGGTTCTACCTCCTTAAAATCTCTTAAATCCATTATTCCTCTATTTGCACTGACAGAATTTAGCACTTTGGTACACCTTTCCAGGACCACTACTAGGGCCTCCTAACTACACTTTCTACCTATAGTTTCACTCTCTACAAAATATTTTTTTTAAAGATTTATTTATTTATTTATTTATTTATTTATTTATTTATACATACATACATACATACAAGCACTGGGTACAGTCAGAAGTGCGGGATTGAACTGGTACAGTCAGAACTGGGGATTGAAGAGGCTGCAGGCAGCTTCGCAACCCAGAGCTCAACCGCTGCGCCACCGGGGAGGCCCATCTACAAAATATTTTCTTCAAAACCACAAGACTAACTTCCACTAACCATCTATCCCAGCATGTCACCTTGTATTTATACTCTTTTAATGAATTATAGTACACGCTAACAAAATCCATCATGTTCTTTCTCCTAATGACCTTTCCAGTCTCACCCTAAAAGTTTGCCTTCTCCTAATTTACATAAGCCATAATATTATACTTAGATGTCTCTAAACTCTCCCAATCTTTATATATTTTGTTTTCTGTTTGGTATATCTCTCCCATGGTCACAGGCTAACTTCTATTTATTCTTTACAATAAATTCAGTTATTCACGCTCTTGAAAGCTATCCTTAACCCCTTCGGCCTAGTTTAGTACTCCTAAGTACAATCTTTGCAATTCTTCCAGAATATATCTTATAATGTATTGTAACATAATGTGACAGCTACTGCCTCCACTAGCTGATAATCAGCGGAGGGATTTAAGGCAGGTATTGTCATAATATTTTCTTTCTATAGTTCACCTAGTATAAAATTTCTTGAATGAATACTTATAAACCTAACAACTATACAAATATTTATCATATAATTGCTTTTGGGAGTCAGAATAATTCTTTCTTTCCTAAGTTTATTGTTGAAATTGAATTAAATCGGGGCGTCCTTACCAGCAGGGGTTAAAGTTTTAGCGCTATCAAGCTATTACCAGGCACTAAGGCATGAGTTCTATCCCATCAGGGAGCTAACCAGGGAGCTAACCCACATGGTGCAGCAGACCTCTCCTGTCTAGTCCACTGCTCCCCTCAGCAGTGTATTTCAGAGGATCTGCCTGTTCTGCTCCCCACTCTGTCTCTGGTGAATCCTCTCACCCTCTGCACCTCTGGCTATACCTCAGTTCTTATATGCATAAATTAAAAAACATAAATCTTTAAAAAAACTTATTTAAATCGTATATTTATCGACATACCACTTTTATTTCTTGATACTCACTTCTTCCATATCTTTCCACATTTCTTCACATTCTTTGATAAGTTCCTCTTCAACATCTCTAACATCTTCCACATCTGTAGTACTATCTGGATCTAGATCTTGCTGATTCACTGACATGAGCCTTGTAATTTTCTTAACCTTATTAGAAAAGCTAAAATTAAAAAAAAGAGTTATTGATTAAGGAATGTTTGTTGAACACCTAGAACCTGCCAGGTAGTCACTTGGGATTTAAAGATGTAGCAGTGAACAAAATAGGTCAAAATATAAGGAATAGGGCCTCCCTGGTGGCGCAGTGGTTGAGCGCTGGGTTGCGAAGCTGCCCGCGGCCTCTGCAGCGCCGGTTCGATCCCCGACTGCTCCCCGGCCACCAGAGGAGGGTCCCACATGGCGCAGACCTCTCCTGCCGCCCGCTGCTCCCCTCAGCAGTGTACTTCGCTTCTGCCTGCTCTGCTCCTCGCTCTGGCTCTGGTGAATTCTCTCACCCTCCCGCGCTTCTGACTGTACCCAGTGCATGTATAAACAAGCAGACAAATAGACAAACAAATAAATAAATAAACAAAAAACATGCCTCTACAAAAAAATAAAAAAAAAATATAAGGAATAGGTAAAAATATAAGGCAAACAAATAATAAATTATGTATATATATGTATATATCGTATTGGACTATATCAAGTTACTTATGAGTACTATGGTAAAAAGCAAAGCAGGGAAGAACCACAAGAAATGCTAAGACAGGGACAATGTAACTTTACCTAAGACAGTCGTATAAAGTCACTCAGAATTACATAATTGAGCAAACCATGAAGAAGTTAAGGAAGTAAGAGAGATATTTAGGGGGGGAGGCTCCAGGCTGAGAGAACCACAAGCACAAAGGCCTAAGGGCAGGAACATGAATACTGTGTTCCAAGAGCAATAAAGTGGCCAGTGTGATTAGAGGTGAGCTAGTAATGCAGAGAATACAAGATGCGGGCAGATAACACGAATGTACCATGCAAGCCATTTTAAGGATTTAGGCTTACACAAGTGATTAAAGGTTTTGAAGAGCGGCACTCGAGACCTGGCTGGTCGTCGAATAACCGCTTTCCCGGAGGTAAGTGGCCTGGAAGGCTATAGACTAGGGGAGCCGCGTCAAGTTTCAAAAGTTACGGCGCCCTCCCCTGCCCAACTCTCACCTCCTCGGAGACCGAGACTTCAGGCAGGAGTCCTCAGCAGATAGAGTTCAGGGTATCCGGCCCCAAGGCCTGTGCGCGCGCTGCTTGCTGGTTGGATATGCTCCTACCCACTCCAGCCAATCCCGAAACAGTCTCGGTCTGCTGACGAATAGGCTGCGCCGCTACCTTTGGATTGGTAGTCGAGTTCTGTTCGTCGCGCCCTTTCTGACGATTCCGACAATATGGCGGCGGAAGGTGAAAGCGATTCGCAAGTGAGAAGGAGAAGGCGCCGGGATACAGAAGACCCGGAAAAAAATGAAATCAGCGAGAGAGAGCTGGCAGTGGCCCAAGAGAACGAAGAAGAGAATGAAGAGCGCTGGGTTGGGCCGTTACCTGTAGAGGCAACGTTGGCCAAGAAGAGAAAAGGTAGCAAACCAGATAGTCACAGGGCGAATTGGAATAATTAATGCGTCCTCCGAGTAAGAGAGTGCAAGCCAGACCCGAAAACATACGGTGTGTGACTGGGATTGTGTGCCCTCAGAATTGAGTCTTCTCACTTCTGTTCAAGCTGGACTTGCACATTCTTCCAAAATAGTGATTTGGGCTTAATAAGACGACTTTTTAATGCTATCTGACACTGCAAGTCAATGATTTGTTTAAATAGGTACTAAAGCTAACTTACGTCTGTACTTTAGTGCTTGGCGTCTCTCATTTTATCCCTATCAGCAGCAATAAGCGGTTGAAATTTTTAACCCCGTTTAGCAGATGTGAGGGCAGGGGTTTCGGGGAAGTACTGCTTCTCTAAGGTTTTCAGTTCAGGAATATTGGAGTGTTGGTGCTGGCAGGAAGGCAGTGCCTATTTAGAATCCAAAAGAGTGGGTAAAGACACTTCCACTGATGAGGTTTCTGACTAGGGAAGTTACCTGGATCACAATTTTTCATTTAAAACCCGAGGTCTGATTGTCAAATTATTTCATGAGGTACCGTGACATTAAGCATTTTGCTATTAACGTGGATTAGTGACTTATTTTTATCAAATAAAAGGAATGGGGAAAGGGGTAGATTAGATCTTCACCTCAAACCTTTATCAATCTCTTTACTTAAAACTCTTCTGTGGTTTTGTTATAGAGCAGCCCCGATATTAAACGGGTTCCTGGCTGTGGGTCCTCACCCGTGCTCTTTAAAGGGACTTAAGAATACTCTACTGCAGACACACACAAAAGGTTAATAAAAGGTTTATTTACAAGAGAAAAGGAAATAAGGAAAATGTACAACTCAGGGAGAAAATAGGGAAATAAAGTCTTTAATGCGTCCTACCTGATCCGAGGACCTGGAAACCCAAAGGCACTCTCAGAGCTGGCCTGATGCTGCGAGCTGGCGGAGAGCCAAAAATGGGGGCTCCTCCAAGGCCCACGTGTCTGCCTTTTATATCCACCTGGCTGCTTAACCCCACCCTCAGGTCCCAGCCACCTTCCCTTTGGTGGTGATGGGATTTGGAGTTCCCAGTGTCTTTGACTTTGACCTAGGGTGGGGGGTGGAGTCCACAAAGCCTATATGGAATTAGCTTTGGGACATCCTTTTCCCCCTAACAGTTTCTCATTATTTGCAAAAGTCCAAAATCCCTGATATGGCATACAGGCCCTTTTTGTTATAATCCCTCCTTATCTCTCCAGCACATTTCCGATACTTCCCTTTCCTAATAATTTGTCATTCCTTCTCAGTCTGTACCAGCCATATTAAACCACTTGAAAATAGGCCATGGTCTCTTTCTCCTCTAGATGCCTACACTGGGAATCATGGTGTCCCTACCTGGAATTCCCTCAACCCTTCTTTCACTTGGTTAACTGTTGTTCAACCTCTAGCACTCAGCTTAACTATCACTCCCTCTGGAAAACTGTGACTTCTTCAGTTTGGACTGGCTTTATCAAGCCCATTGATCATAATTGAGGTAATGTTTATCATTCTGAATTTACAAGAAGCCTTCAAGTTTTATCTGGATTTTGAAATAGCTGCTGTATTTTTAATATTGTACAAGTGCATTATGTATTTTACTGTGAGGTTTTCCTTTTAAGTGTTCAGTAACTGTTCACTGCACTTGCTGCATTTTGCAGTTGTATATTTGTTTATGTGATTGTGTGATTAATGTTTCTCTCTGCTAAGACTGTAAACATAGAAGAGCAAGGACTAAGTTTGTTTTGCTTCAGTGTTTGGTAAGAGTGCTTTGCATATATCAGTGTTTAGTTAGTTTAATTCATTTACTCAGTAAGCTCAATCCATTTGTTGAATTAATGAATGAGTGTTAGTGTATATGCTCTCAATTATTTTACAGTAATTCTTTTTGTCCAAAAATAAGTGCCGACAGTGTTTGGAGACAAAGATCTTAAAAACTTAATACAAATTAAAAATGTAAGAAATGTTCGAAAAATAACATTGAAGATTTTGTCTAAGAGAATAGGGTTTTAAAAATACATTTACTTTCTAGAAATGGAATCATCCCCTTTAACATGTTCTTTGGATATTAGATTTTTGTTTACATTTTAACAAAGCTATTATAAATGATTATATGGTACTACCTTTAATTAAACTAATAGTTTATCAAGAGCAGGGGCCATGTTAACTCTTCTTTATGTCCTTGTGCCCTGGAAACTATTTATTTTCAATAAGTATATGCCTAACAAGTGAACTAACAAATAGGGTAAAATTTAGTTGCATGTTACAGAAGACCCAAAATGACAATATGAAAAGATAAAAGTGTGTGCTTTTCTCTTACGTAACAAAGTCCCAAAGTAGTCTAAGAATGGTGTGGATGCTCTAGTGGGAACTAGGCTCTTTCCAGCTTTTTGTCCTAATAACACTAATACGTGGTTCTCATTAGAATTACAGTGATTATGTCTTACTTTCAAGTATAGGATTGAGAAAGGGAAGACCACACTTTCTCAAGGAGACTTCTCTACTGTCACACACTTCCACTTTTATCTCACTGGTACATGATCACATCTAACTGCAGAAGAGGGTGGGAGTCATCATCTTCTACCTGGATATCAATATTTCCATGGAAGACGTTTGAGAATCAGTTAACTGGGTAATCTCTAGGATTTTCTCAACTCTAAAAATCTAAGTCATGTTCAACAGTTTCAAGCCCAATTATCAGTGATTTCAGAGAGGAACAGTGTCTTAAAGGTATTGAGACACAGTAGTCATTGCTTCTTATTACATAATTTAAATTAGCACCAGTAAATGGATCTACATAGTTAGAAAAATAGCTGTGATATAAAACTTTTTAAGGGTTTTTTTTTTTGTTTTTTGTTTTTTAATGGAACTTTTGAATTAAACCAGTTCTTAAATTCTGGGGACAGTTAAGCATCTGTCTGATTCCTGAGAACCTGTCATGACTCATTAAATAATGGTGCTATTCAGTTACTCTGAAATAATAAAAGTTACAACTGACATAAAAGACACTTTATTACACATGAATTGAGAGAAATTAAAATCTGGTATACAGTAAAAAATAAAATTTACATCATTTTAAACTTTAAAAATGCCAAATACGTATTAAATTCCAGTTGTAAAAATAAATTTTGCTTTTTTTCTCAGTTCTAGAATTTGAAAGAGTCTATCTTGATAATCTCCCCAGTGCATCCATGTATGAGCGCAGTTACATGCATAGAGATGTCATCACCCATGTGGTATGCACCAAGTAAGTCATTCACATCTTTTAAAATTTTTTTTCTGATTTTATTATTTTTAAAAATGCTTCAGCAGTTGGGGGGTGAATTTGCATAAGTAACTTTAGGGTATTTTGGATTTCTACTTAATTCCGTAGATTCTGTAATAATTTAAGGGCCTCCTTCCCTCTGTGGTACAAAAAATACATTTCCTCAGATAGATCTCTATAGTTTGTACATTTGTCTTTTGGAGATAAACGCCAAAGAGTGATGAACCAGGTGTCTAAGCGTCCCAGAAGAAAAGTTTATTAGTTAAGGTGAGAGTAATTGGTAGATGGCCTCTTCAGAATCATTGGGGCAAATGATGAAAACTAAGACATTCTGGGAATATCACAGAACTTCAGAAGTGGATGAATGGGAGAATTTGTTATAATGATAGTAATTTGGTTTATAATGATAGTAGTAATTCTCTGCTATTTATTAAGTTCATAGTTTGTCCGGGTACTGTGTGGAGGCTTTTATATAAGTTAATTATCTTAAAGACAGTTTTATGAAGTAGTATATAATCTCCATTTTATAGATAAGAAAACAAGTTTAGAGAATTTAAATGGCAGATGAGGCTCGAGAAAAAGGGACATGGGACTAAATCCCAGAGAATTATCTCTTCTTTACGTGGAGTCTGAACCTATAATCAGGAGACTAAGATCAGATTTTAAAAAAAAAAAGACCACTCTGGCTATAATGAAAATGGGATTCTTGCCCAAATAGGGCAAGAATGGATACTGAGAGAAGCAATTAGGAAGCTAGAATAGAAATCTGAATGAGATATGATTATGATGGCAACTTGGATGGTAATGGCAATGAATATAAAAAGAAGTTGATGAATTATTTTTTTCTTTGGAGCAGTCTATTTTTTATCTCTTGGAGATGATTTAATTAAATAAAATACATTTATATTTCATTTACAGGATAATTCTGGCCAAATACTAGCACTTTTCCTGGTCTAAAGGTGTCGATGTATAAAGCAGCATGCAGGACTAGCATTGCTATCACTCGTTTATTTGTTTTTTAACCTAAAGCAGTGGGGTATAATAAAAATATTATAGGTTTTGAGGTTTGACAAATATGATACTGAATGCCTTCACTGTCCAGCTAAAGACTTGGTACAAATTTCATCTTTTAAAACTTGCCTGATTTGCAAAATGATGATAAAAATACCCTTCCTAATAGAGTTGCTGTAAAGATTAGCTAAGGAAACACCTGTAGAGCAGCTTACAAATACTAAGTTTCAATAAATGGTTTCTCTTTATATGCCTTATGGAGGAGACTGTATTGCATAAAAACCTTTGATAGTCAAAATACCTTATATAAGAAAAAAGCAGACTTATGTTGAATTTTCCTGTATATAGAAGTAGTATGCTGGGATATAATTATTTATCAACTTCTAAAAAATAATACCTTTTCCTTGTTCTCTGAACAGCCTAATGGATAACTTTAGCATTAAAGAACCCTAAGGTCTAGTGATTCCTGGTGAGGTTTTCTTTTCTTCTAATGACAAATCCTAGCTTATTTCTGATCTCCTGGGATTAAAATTAGTGCAATAGCAGTTGTTTGGATATCCAGGAAAGAGCTTCAGATTTTAATAACTTACTGTGAAAGGTCAAAGATGCACAGTGAATGATTGCTTTGAGAGTACTGATTCATAAATATGTTTTAGAAAGTAACTTTTATAATTTTATATATACAGGACAGATTTCATTATTACAGCCAGTCATGATGGACATGTTAAGTTCTGGAAAAAAATTGAAGAGGGAATTGAGTTTGTCAAACATTTTCGTAGTCACCTAGGTAAGAATTTCCTCTTTTTTTGTGTTTGTGTGGCTCTCTTTCAAGCTGTACTAATTAAAGTTTCTCTTAAAATGCTTTTTTCTTTGATTTGTATTCATTTATTTCATTGGTATTTACTAGAATGTTTTGATTTATTTAAATAGGAGTTATTGAGAGTATTGCAGTTAGCTCTGAGGGAGCATTGTTCTGTTCTGTGGGTGATGATAAAGCAATGAAGGTGTTTGATGTAGTGAACTTTGACATGATCAATATGCTGAAGCTTGGGTGAGTATATCTTTTAATTTAGTGAAATAATTTTTTATCTATGCCATTTCATAGGCATTTCTAAACACAGTATGTTACCATTACATTAAAAAATATGCCCTTGATATTGCTGGGAAAATTTGATGTGATGAATCTTTGGTGTGATGCTATTTTGAGGCCTTTGATTTTTCTCATTAATCACAATCCAAATTGCAAGGATTCATTATATCTATTTAATATTATATAATAAATAAATGAGGATCCAGTTCTAATTTTCACATACGTAGATTAATTTCTTTGCTTACTTATATCAGTGATATGTACTATGAGCTTATAAAGCTTATATACTTTTCTGAAATTGAGGTTATTTGTTGGTGATTTTAAACTTTGAAGTATATTAATAGCCAAACTATGTGGTTAGACTATGCAGTAATGAAGCTTATACTTTGTTTTAAGCGTGTCTTTTAAAGATCACATACTGAATTCATATCCATCTAAGTTAATGTGACTTTGAAAGTTATAACATTGTCAAAAACAATTTGGGTACTTGTCTTGGTCTACTAAGACTGCCATAACAAAAGACCACAGACTGGGTTGCTTAAACCACAGAAATTTTTTCTCTCTCAGTTTTGCAGTTTGGAAAGTCCAAGTTCAAGTTCCAGCAGGGTTTGATTTCTGGGTTTCATGCTTTGTTCTTGTTAGGGAGGTTTGGAGAGCAGGAAAAATGATCTCTTTTCCTCTTTTTACAAGGCCACTGGCTATGGGATTAAGGCCCCACCCTTATGGCTTCATTTACCTTAATTCCTAGAAACCCGGATCTTCTGATACCTTCACTTTGGATGTTAGGGGCCCAATATATGAAATGGTGGGAAGGGAGCATAATTCAGTACTTAGCACACTTCTTTTGGAATTTCCTTCAAAATCAGTTTATGAGCCACTGAAGAAAATGAATTTCATTATATGCAGTCAAAATTTTTTTACAAAAAACGGAAATATTCACTGTTCATTTGTCCTATTTTACTACTGATTTCCCAGACATTTAGCTGTTTTTAAAAATCAAATGTATTCATACATCTTGAATGTTTGCTACCTGTAAGGATATTTAAGGAGTATTTTTTTAGGCTTTCATAGAAATTCTAACAGGAGAGTCAAAAATGAGTTTTAAGAATACCATCATTGGAATTTTAAGAATACCATCATTGTAACTTCTCAGATTGACTCCTTTGAGTAAGACTGCTCACTTGACAGTACAAGTTTAGTAAATTGTTTATATCATATCCCAGTTATTTTATACTTTGTTCATCAGGTGGCATGATTATTGCTTAAAAGAAGATTAAGTTACTAATGAGAATGTGATAAAGAATGTTCTTTTGCTCATGGTCATAATGAAAATATTTTGAACTTAAATATATTCAAGAATGGATTTATAACGTATACTATTGCATGCTAACATATTTAAAAGTAAGTTATACATAGACTGAGACATAGACACAGATCTAAAAAGCAATGCTATAGAAAATTTTAAGACACGGGTCATTAGGTTTCCTTATCTACCCAAGAGAAATAACTGGTCTGCCATATATATAATTTTTTTCACGTGGTTTGCTGGGTCTTCAGAAAGTATTGTTGTTGCATTCATGATATCAAAAAGATAAAAACTAGTGTTCTTAATTGTTCTCCCCTTTCAGTATCACTATTTGCTTCTTTGGGGCACAGAATCCAAACCTAGTTAAATTACTTGAAAGAACATTTTTTGGTGGCGAGGCTGAAGAGAAATGCTAACTTGTCTTGACCTTCTTCCCTCTCCCCCCCAATTCTTTACTGTTTTAGGTATTTTCCTGGACAATGTGAGTGGATCTATTGCCCAGGGGATGCCATATCGTCAGTTGCTGCTTCTGAGAAGAGTACAGGGAAAATTTTCATTTATGATGGCCGAGGAGATAACCAACCACTTCATATTTTTGACAAACTTCATATATCACCTCTTACTCAGATACGTTTAAATCCAGTTTACAAAGCAATAGTGTCTTCTGATAAGTCTGGAATGATTGAATATTGGACTGGGCCGCCTCATGAATATAAGTTCCCAAAAAATGTGAACTGGGAATATAAAACTGACACAGATTTATATGAATTTGCCAAGTGCAAGGCTTATCCAACCAGCATATGTTTTTCACCTGATGGGAAGAAAATAGCTACTATAGGTTCTGACAGAAAAGTTAGAATTTTCAGGTTTTTAACTGGAAAACTCATGAGAGTCTTTGATGAATCACTAAGTGTAAGTGCAATTTAATCAGATTTTATTTTGCTAAAGTTTTTATCTATCCAGTGGTTCTGTAAGTGGTATGGTAGGTTGAATCCTCAGAACTTGTGGGTTCAACTTTCATAGCAATATTTATTGTATGACAATCAAGTCACAGTTTTTGGTAGTGACCAATTTATATTAGATTCCCTGCAGTAAGCTCTTCAAAAATTCTGTCACTCTTATTAGTGAAACGCTTGGTAGCAGCTGGATTTAAGTTGAGTTGATTATCCTGTCTTAAGTAATTTGAATCCAGACAAGTGTAAAGATGCTTACTAGCCAGATCATCTTCATGACTTTTTCTTGTTGAAAGAAGATAGCTTTCCACTATGCTTTTAAGAAATCTTTTTTTGGTGATGTTAATAATAATAGCTGTAGATACTAGTTTGAACTTAAATATAATTTTAAAACTCATCAATTTGGAGATCTTCAAGATTCCTCAGGAATAGAAATATTCAAGACTTAGTCTCTGGATAGAAATGTTTTAAACACACATACTCTGAACTGATCATTCTGTTTTTTCATTGTTATCTTCAACATTTGTTCAGATGATAGAACTAAGGTAATAAAAGGCAGTTAAGATTCAGAATGAAAGCATTTGCCTAAAAAAGCCAAATGCCAGGTAGATTAGTTACAATTTTAGTGACTAGTGACTGGAATCTCATGTTCGTTTTAAGATGTGGGTTTGGGAGCTTTGTTACAGAGTCCTGGTTCAACAGACAAGAAATTGAACTGGATGCTCTGGGTTGTTTTAGTACTTATTAACAAGAATCACTGCATGTGACCATGTAGTTGTGTATCACAGAGTTCCTACTGTTAAGGCTAGAATACTGTGAAATTCTGATGTGCTTATAAGGTTGGGTTACCATTGCAGAATATTTTCATGTGGGCAGATGTCCATCTACCGACTTTAAGCCTTGAAATTGAATCTTTTCTCTAGCAAAAATAATCAGGGATGTCCCTCACTGCAGCATTCTTAGCTATTTTGGCACATAAAAAATAGTCTCAGAGGTAATAAACCCTATTGATCATGTTTTTTAGTTCTATAAGACTTTGCCTCATGCTTGTTATCTAACACACATACCACCTTTTGATTTTTAGAGTTGTGTATATCTCAAAAAATGAGACTTCTAGTTAACATGAACATGGAAAAAAAAAAAGTAGGCGGGTATAAATTATCATCTGCAGTGAAGAGCTACCTGCAAATTTTTGCTGTTTGATGCCCTAAATGTCTGGAAAACTCAATGTAAAGATCATAACTTTGGGGAGAGTTGTAGAGTGATAATATGTAGTAATTAAGAAGGGCACTCATAAAAATAATCACTCATCTTAAATCACATTTACCTAGTGATAGTCAAATTATATTCTAACTGTAGTTGTCCCATGTCAAAATAACTAAAGGTTTTCTGAAACTTCTGAAACACCATGAAGTTGTTAGTAAGTTAGTAAAATAATAAAAAGTTCATTCATTCAACAAAACTAGATACTTGTTAAGTATCATACCCATGATAATTGCATAAGGACCTCATAGTCTATAACTGCATTGTTCAATGTAGTAGCCACAGCAGTCAGACATATGACTACTGAGTAATTGAATGTGACTAGTCCAAATTGAGATGGGCTGAAAGTATAAAACACCCACAGGATTGCAGAAAATATATGAAAAAGTGTTATTTATCTCTAAATTAGATTTTATAATTTTTATATTGTTTAATGTTTAAATATTTTGGATATGTTGGATTGGATAAAACTGTTAAGATCAATTTCACTTTTTTATTTGATGTAGCTATTAGAAAATTATGATAAAATTACTTGTATGGTTTACATTATATTTTTCTTATAAAGTGCTACTACTCTGTGCCTTAAAAAAGCTACCAGATATAGTTTCTATAAAGAAAGCAGTTGTTGTATTAACTAATTGGCTTTTTTTTTAATTAGAACAATACCACAATGTAAAATGATAATCTTATGATTGAACTTAATAATGTCTTTTTATTTCCTGCTTATAGTGTTCAGAATCCTCTTTAAGATACATGTGTATAAACAGTGGCTCTTATTGTGTACTCTGCTTCTACTTAAATTCTCATTCCCTTCATTACATAGCTTTTTGTTAATAAATGGTTTGTTTCCTAGATGTTTACTGAACTGCAGCAGATGAGGCAACAGCTACCAGACATGGAATTTGGCCGACGAATGGCTGTAGAACGTGAGTTGGAGAAAGTGGATGCAGTAAGATTAATTAATATAGTTTTTGATGAAACTGGACACTTCGTGTTATATGGAACAATGTTGGGCATTAAAGTTATAAATGTGGAAACAAACCGGTAAGCTTTAATATGATGTATGTTTTTAAAAAATGCATTTCCCTACTTTTGGGAAACAATGGGAGTTTTGTTTGTTCCAAGACAAGTGGAAATATCCCAAATGTCTAAACTTAACCAAATGTTTTGACTGGATTTTTCTGTGGTCTTTGGTTGTTTATAATCTTATGTAAAAAGTTTCCACTCATGTTTGTAAAAGAAAGGGAAAGAAGATATGCATAGTTTCAAGTTTTGTTTTTTTTTTTTAACAAGTTTCGGTCTGTCTTTTGCTTATTGATTTAAATTAGACTAGTTCATGTTAAATGTTGCCAAATATTTTAACCACAGAATTCAGCATTACATCCTGCTAGACATAAAATCAGAAGTTAAAATGCATGAAACCACAATAAGCCTTTTGTGCAGTCTTTTTGGTCTTCCTACAAAATAGCTACAATCAGATACTATCACTGAATATAAATGAATAAAACTTAAAATATATTTTAAGGAGGAAAAGTCTGTGCTGTACATTCCTACATTTAAACAAATTTATTTTGTAGTTCTCAGCAAAAGAAAATCTGAAGGCTTGAAGAAAGATTAAAATAATAGAGATAGGTTAAAACTGTACGACTAAATGATTGTATGTTTTTAACCTGAAAGTTATAGCTACCTACCAGTTGAAAAGTAAATATTTTGAGGAGATAGAGAACCTTTCATTACTCTGAACAAAGATAAACAGATTATTGATTCCTAGGTTTTCTTTTCAAAGTTGTATGTAACATTGTTTTATTGTATGAAACATTTTTGTATGTATTTTTATTGTATGAAACATTGTGTTTTAGGTGTGTGCGGATCTTAGGCAAACAGGAAAATATTAGAGTGATGCAACTGGCTTTGTTCCAGGGAATAGCCAAAAAACATCGTGCTGCAACTACTATAGAAATGAAAGCTTCTGAAAACCCTGTTCTTCAGAATATTCAGCCTGACCCAACGATAGTCTGTACATCTTTCAAAAAGAATAGATTTTATATGGTATGTAAAAGTACTGGGAGGTAGGCCTTAATGTTTCTTCCAGTTTTGGTGGTTTTATTTTCTTAGCTTGTGCCTTCAACTGAAGGAAATGTTGGCAATAATAGCAGACTTTCTAAACAACCAGAATACCATCTTACAACATTAATATTGTAAAAATTTAACTAGGACTAGATTTTAAGTATTTCTGTACTATTTTCCATCCTGCTCTGAAAATTTTTCAATCTGGCATCTACAACTATTTGTGTTGTCTAAGATGATAGGAAGTAAGTGGTTATGGTAAAAATTGCATCCAAAATAGTTTTTGCCATGGGGTTTTAAAAATTCTTGTTTTTATTATTTTTCAGCTTTTATTCTTGAACATAATTTATTTCCCCTATTCTTACAGTTTCCTTTTCTAAACCTAACTCTTTTAACATTTGAATCCATTTTAATGGTTATCCTTAGAATTGTATATTCCTGACATTTATTTTTTTTTCCTGGAAAACTAAAAGTACTTGGCACATTAACTAAGATTGGGCTCAAAATCAATCTAGTGACCTACCTAAGAGTAGTACCATCCTAGTTGTTTAATCATAAAAATCCTCTGCTTTTAGATTCTATCCTTTATACTGTATTGAGTTTCTGAGATCTAAATGTGATTATTTCTCTGCTTAAAAGTCATTAATGACTTCTCTGCTATCTGCTTTAGCTAGCCCTCCTAGCTTTATCATCCATTAATTTTTACTTATTTCATTGACTATCATAAACTTGATCTCATTTGCATGACCAGGTGTTTTTTATTCTAGCCTTTGCACAGTCTGTTCCTTTTGTCAGCCACACAACTCTTCCCAATTTCTGCTCATAGTGTCTCACTTGGAAGCCTTCTCTTCACCACAATTTAGGTGTGCCTGCTTGTTTGTATCACGCTTTTTTTTTTTTTTTTTAAAGATTTATTTATTTATTTATTTATACAAGCACTAAGTACAGTCAGAAGCATGGGAGGGCGAGAGAACTCACCAGGGCCAGAGCGGGGAATAGAACAGAGAGACTGATGAAGTACACTGCTGAAGGGAGCAGCTGGCGGCAGGAGTGGTCTGCGCGCCATGTGGGACCCTCGCCCGGCGGCTGGGGATCGAACCTGCGCTGCAGAGGCTGCGGGTAGCTTTGCAACCCAGTGCTCAACCGCTGCGCCACCAGGGAGGCCATATGTCACACTTTTTGGAATAATTTACTGATTTTGGAGGGGAAGAGATAGGTGTCTCTAATAACCATCATCTCTTCCTCAAGATGATACAAAATCCATACATACATAGGGCATTATATTTTCTTCACTATTAAATCTAGTTTGGTAAAGTGTGTACCCTATATGTATACCCATATAAAGTATAAATTCATCTGGGGTAATGGCTATGATGCTATTAAGGTTACCAATATTTAATAAATGTATGAAATAACAGTGTCCCTATCTATGGCAATCAAATGCTCACCTAAAATGGGTTTATGTGAGAATTTTGCTAATAACTTTCCAGGTAATTATTAAAAGTTTATTAACATGTATTGAAATTTACTTTTCTTACCTGTAATTTAAATTTATAAAGGTAAAAATCATAAAAGAATTCTTGGTATCACTAAAATCACAGGTACTATTTTTCTAGTCCCTTAAATACTTTAACAAATTATGTCCTTTTCCCCCAGTTTACTTTTATATTGATTAGATGTTCCTTGTAAGCTTTGAGCAAAAAAATTAGTTACTCGTAGTTCTTTACAGCTTACATTTTCTTGAATAATCTGTTTTATTAGATGTGTGTTCTTAAGCAAAATTAAAGTGGTATACATATATATGAATATTGTGTCCCATTTTACAAATCCAGCATCATGAAATAAAATTTTACAAAACTGGAACTTCAGTAGTTCCATATGTGAGTTAAAATTCATATAAATAATACAATAGACATGTCATTTCTTTGAAAACTGAAGAATGAGAGGCTAAGGCAGTAACTTTCTAGTTGGGTTGTTTCTTTAGCTAGATCTATCCAAGTGTGTTAAGGGATGACATTTAGGAAAGACAGAGCCTAATACACTAGCTTTACCTTCCTGGAACACAGTCGCTAGCAGGTAGAGTGCTTTCATGGGAGGAAAGATTTCTACTCACTGTCAAATAAGAAACAACTTGAGAATTCAGACTTTAAACAACTGAAAGGTTTTTCTCTTCTTCCTGTACCCTGAGGATCCAGAGATTTCGCCTACTTCACTTAAAATTTGCATTCTTTCTCCCAAGCTTGAGGGTTTAAATTGATCACTTAGAACAATGCAAAAAAAAATCTAGATCCATCACTGATTAATCTTTGAATCCTCTTCCTACCTAGCACTAGGTCCTGCTCATAACAACAATTATTGTGTACACAGTACTCTGTTAGGCACTATTGTATAAGCACTTTATATCTTTCTACTTAATCATCACAGTAGGTACCAATTTGAGGTAGGTATTGTTATCCCCATTTATGAATGAGAAAATGAAAGAAAGGAATTTACTTCCCCAAAGTCACATAGCTGGTAAGTGTCAGAGTTGGGATTCAAACCCAGGTAATCTACGTAGTGAAAGGACATGATAAAAGGCAGAAATATAGAGCTACTTCATAGCCACTTCTTGTTAAATGTGCACCCCCAAAATTTTCTCTCTGATAGGAAATAAAATCCTATCACCCATCCTCATTTTACGAGCTGTTTTCATATTACACAAATGTAAAAATAATTTATTATACATATCTTGTGATAGAAGTGATTCCTGAAATAAGGCTTCATTCAGATGTGCATTCTTTTCTCAAATACTTCAATGAAAGTCAAGTTTTCTACACATAAATTTTAACCAGTTGAAAATTTAATTCATTCATTGTTTTCCTCCTTCAGTTTACCAAACGAGAACCAGAAGATACAAAAAGTGCGGATTCTGACCGAGATGTTTTTAATGAAAAGCCTTCTAAAGAAGAAGTCATGGCAGCTACTCAAGCTGAAGGACCTAAGCGAGTTTCAGACAGTGCCATTATCCACACAAGCATGGGAGACATTCACATCAAACTTTTTCCTGTTGAGTATGTACTGCTTTTGTTTTATTTTCTTTTTTTATGAATGTGTATATTTATTTATATATATATACTTTTTTAAAGATCCATTTTTTATTTATATAAGCACTGGGCACAGTCAGAAGCACAGGAGGGTAAGATAATCCACCAGAGCCAGAGCAGCGAACAGAACAGGCAGACTAACAAAATACACTGCTGAGGGGAGTAGCGGGTGCAGCAGGAGAGGTCTGTCGTGCCATGTGGGACCCTCGCAGGCGGCTGGGATCGAATTGGCGCTGTAGAGGCTGTGGGCAGCCTCGCAGCCCAGCGATCAACCGCTGTACCACCAGGGGAGGCTCCGAATGTGTGTATTTAAAGAAACTATACAACTTTAAATTCTTGTTATTCTGACTTAAGGAATTTTGAAGACTTAAATCATGTTTGAAAGCGCATATAAAGTCTGCTAGAAAATGGGAAAATTTTATGCACATATAAATTTATATATCATAGATTTGTTATTAGGACAAAATGTATTGGCTATAAAAGTGTTAAATATATAGAGAAATACATGTATTTTACTATTAGCATTAACTGCACATCCCAACTACAGGTTTTAAAGCTTACTTGATCTATAACTGGCTGTCCTCTCAAAGCAAACCTTAAGAGGAAGATAATTTTTCTTTCCCGACACTTGCTAGATATTAACTTCCTCTTCTTTGGTTCCAGTAGCTATATATATATATATATATATATTTTTTTTTTTTTTAAAGATTTATTTATTTTCATACAAGAACCGGGGTACAGGCCAGATGCGCGGGAGGGTGAGAGGATTCACCGGAGACAGAGTTGGGTACAGAACAGGCAGACTGATGAAATACACTGCTAAGGAGAACAGCGGGTGAGACTGGAGAGGTCTGCTGCACATGTGGGATTCTCGCCGGGATCAAATCAGCACTGCAGAGGCTACGGACAGCTTCACAGTGTGGCGTTCAACCACCTGCACCACCAGGGAGGCCCCAGCTATATTTTTAAAAATGAGTTTTAACAAAAAAATGTAAGGATTTCCATTTTAAAAAATCAGGGAAAAAAATACCTGGACAGCTTAGGTTTGCAAAAAGAATGTGCAATACCAAATACAAGAGTCTCTCTAAATATTCTTGATGCAAAAGTTGTATCTTTTATCACACCTTTACTTGAAAATATTCATACTGAACATGAATGTTCTTATATCACACATTAGTACTGAGCAAAGAACTAGGCAGGTCCAGACTTCTGACCTGTCATGTCAAGCACTCAGCATCCATGCACCGATGAAACCTTGTTGTACTCTGTGTAAGATTCTCCTGGTTCTCCTTTCCATTCTCAGCCCTAAGATCTATTATATGATTAAGGACCATGTTAAATTACCTCATGAGATTAGTTAATATTATTTAGGAAGTTTATGAGTATTTAAAGTTGATTAAATTTAAGAGACATTTCTCTGGGTAAAGTCCTTGGTCAGGAATGTGTATCATAACATTTTTTTATTAAAAAAAATCTTTTCCAGGAACTTTTTTTTAAATACTTAAACTTATTTAGTTGAAGAACTAGGGTGTAGGCAAGAGGTGAGGGGGTGAGAGGATTCACCAGAGACATAGTGGGGAACAGAACAGGCGGATCTATTGAAATAAACTGCTGAGGGGAGTAGCAGGCAAGACAGGAGAGGTCTGCTATGCCATATGTGGGCTAGCTCCCTGGCTGGGGATCGAATTCAGGCTGTAGTGGTAAGAGTGCTGAGACTTAACCCCTAGGCCACTAGGGGGGCTCCCTTTTCCAAGATTTTAACCCACTACATAAAGTAACTATATACAATTTTTAGGTAGTACATTGGTATTTTTTAAATTGATAACAGACCTTGAAATCTATATATTGTCAAACTCTTGGATAATAAACAATTGTGATCTAAAGATACTCCATTAAAGAAGAATATGCCACTTTGTATACTCTTTCAACTCTTGCTTGTTGTGAGATGAGGTTATTAAAGTCTGGCCTTCTAAAACATTCAGAAGATATTGAAAACACATTAGGAAGCAGAACTGCAAAGAAAACTGGCCTAAGATGCAATGAATAGATTTCCTATTTTTAACATGTCTTACTAGGTGTCCTAAGACAGTGGAAAACTTCTGTGTTCACAGCAGAAATGGTTATTATAATGGACATACATTTCACCGTATAATTAAGGTAAGTTATGCAAATTTTATATGACTTAAGGAATGTTACTATATAACAAGCAGTTTTTACTTAAGGAATCTTATTCTCTCATACTTATCAGTTTATTAGAAAGGAATAGGAAAAATGGACCACTGGAAGCCAAAAGAAGAATGGATGGTCATGAAATCAGATCTAGAATCAAGGACAGGAATAGTAGCGAAACACTGCAGCAATATTTTGCCAGCAGCTAAAGCAAAGGGTAAGACAATTAGTAAAGGTTATACTGAGATAAGATCAATAGCCCAGGTAACCTATTCCTAACAGCTAGACAAGTCTAGATGTAGAGGATAATATTTTAAATAGTAAGAGATACACAACCACTTAGAATCTAAGAACCATCAGTTATACCTAAAAAGAAAAATGAATTTGACCCAGAATTTTGTTCAGTAGGATGCCATAAAATGGATGGATTAGTCATGCAGTACTTGGCAGGGCAAGAAATGGCAGGAGAAAAAATGAGATTGCAAATTTCTGAAGGAAATTGTGAAATGACTCATCAGGAAATCCAGAGTGTTTAGGGAAAGGGAGATGAGTGGGGCAATTATATAAGACCTAATATAGTATACAAATCCTAAAACTTTAATTAATTGGTTTTAATTAAATTTTTAGGAAAGGTTCTACATGTCTATAAATGAGAAGGCATTTGCATTTGTGTTTCAATCACAGAAGTACAATAGTATTTGAGCAGTGAAAATACATAATCCAAATCATGTAACTTACTAAGGACTTAATAAAATCACTTTATAAAGTGTAAACAATGTAAAGATTTTTTTTAATATAAAGCACTCTTAATGTACATAAACCTTTAGAACATGTCTAAAAAGGGCAGTGTAATTTATTTTTTTGTATATTTTCTATTAAGGGCTTCATGATTCAGACAGGAGATCCAACAGGTACTGGTATGGGAGGAGAAAGCATATGGGGAGGAGAATTTGAAGATGAATTTCATTCAACATTGCGTCATGACAGACCATATACACTCAGCATGGCCAATGCTGGATCAAATACTAATGGATCCCAGTTTTTCATAACAGTAGTCCCAACGGTAAGTTGAGCTGCATGGTCCATGAGCCAGAGATTCATGAGTTATAGTCTAAAAGAATGAATTCAATGGGAGAGATAACTGTATTATTTCCTACCATTATACCTTCCAAGGTAGAAAAATGAAAACAACTTAGAGAAGAAAAATGTAAAATTACCTTATAAATGAGATTTTACTTGGTAAAATAAACTTATATCATCCAGAACACAAGTCAAGTTTGCCATGCTAATTGTACAAACCAAAACAAGTTATTTTGCCTTTGGCATGTTTCCTCATCTTTAGAATAGACTGATAAAAGTATATGAATTCTCAATTTTATGACCTTTTTTTGCCACATTTTTGTATCTCTGAAATTAGGATGTGACCCAGAATCAATAGCATTTTAGATTTGGTGAAATATGACTTTAAGAATTTCTAGCAGTTCCACAAATTCATAAAAACTACACACTTTGGAACTAAGCACCAATCACTGAAGGAAAATATTTATCGATAACTGTCTGGCAGGCACATAGTTTTATGTAATGGTTACAGTAGTTCTTGTATGACTACATTCAGTTCACATAATAGTGAAATATGATAATTTGTCAAAGGTCAGGTAAGTAGCAGAGCCAGTATTTGAACTCCCATCTAATGCTAAAAAAACATGCTAATTAACTATTCCAAACTGTCTCTTAATTGTGCAAGTAGGTTTACAGCAGAGAATTTTTAAAACCTTAGTAATAATTCTTTAAGCCATGCAAGGAAACATAACCAGCAAAAATCTTCCAGCTCCCTTTGTCTGAAAGATGAAGATATTTAAGTATTATACTACATTTTTATATTTTTTCACATAATCAAGTAAATCACTCTTAAAAGCTAAGTGAAATTAGCATACTTTATTTAGTGTTTTTTTTAAAGATTTATTTATTTATGTATACAAGAACTGGGGTACAGGCCAGAAGTGTGGGGGCAGGGGAGAGGATTCACCAGAGACAGAGAGAGAAACAGAACAGGCAGATTGACCGAAGTACACTGCTGAGGGGAGCAGCAGGTAAGTCAGGAGAGGTCTGCTGCACCATGTGGGTACCTCCTTGGCTGGGGATCAAACTCATGCTGCAGAGGCTGTGGACAGCTTCATAGTTTATGTCTCAACCACTTGTGCCAACAGTTCTCCGGAGAACCATACTTTTTTAATTATATTTAAAAAAAGCATAAATTCTCTATAATTTACTCCCCATAGAGGGTGTCATTTTAGAAATTTAGGTTTACCAAGATTTTCCATTTGTCCTTCAACACAGCCTTGGCTTGATAATAAGCACACAGTATTTGGACGAGTGACTAAAGGAATGGAAGTTGTACAGAGAATCTCCAATGTCAAAGTCAATCCCAAAACAGATAAGCCCTATGAAGATGTCAGCATCATAAATATTACTGTCAAGTAAAGTAAGAATTGTTTCATTGTACGTGTAAGTAAAAATACACATGTTAACACAGGATTATTTTATATTAGGAAATTCTTAAGAATTGTTGAACATAGAAATTATGTTTCAAGGATATTTTTTTAATTTTCATTAAAGGCCATTTGTTTTAATTCTGCCTTTGAGTTTTCTTGCAGTGTTTTCATCCTAGGTGATAATGAACTAAACTTAGGCAAACAAAACACTCCTTATATATAATTTTTCATAAGACTTAAAACCATATTAAATAATAAGCGGTATTACATTTGTTCCCTAGTTTTTCACAAGCATGCTGATAAACCTGCCCTCATGGCTCTTTAGATTCACTAAGAAAATGTTCCAAGATCTCGGGGTATGTACCATTTCCTTTCTTTTATAAGGTTTGGGTTTTCTACCAAATAGTTGTCTTTTGATCAATGTTAAGTAGTAGGTATATCTTATTTAAATAAACAGGAAGTTCCTTTGTTCAGAAGTGTTAATTATGAGATATTCTTTGAAATATAACAATTAGACCAAGTGAATACCTGAGTTTTTGGTTTTATAGACTGATTCATTGACTGTTTTCATTCTTTTCCTAGTGTAGCTAAACAGTTTTTCTGTCCTCGAGCAATAGTGTATCTTTTCTCGCCTCACTAAATATATCAAGAAAGTTATATATTGAGTAAAGTATCTATTAATAGTAGCAATTAGAGCAATAAAACAATGAATCCAAAGTCTTGTATTAATTTCATTTCTCACTTACCCTCATAATTTATTATGTAACTGTTAAGAACTATCACTTCTAGTTTCCAGACACACTCTTGTAATAATTTGTAGATATACAAATATCAAATCACTGTGTTGTATACCTGAAACTAAGACAGTGTTATGAAATCACTTCAATCTTTAAAGCGAGCAAAAAAACAACACACAAACCCTCTTAGAAGGAACATGTTCAACAGACTTGTTTATTAGGGAATTTATACTCCTATATTTTAAACTCAAAGCTTACACTTTTTCCTTCTATTGATAAGCAGGATTATTTTCTTCATTCAGTTTGCACCACAAACTATTGTGGGATGGAAAAACATGCTCAATTGTGCTATTTTAAACTAATAGTGTCCTCCTTTTTAGAAGTAGAACTTGGGCATAAAGAGACTATTCACTGTGACACACAGTGTCTTTGCTTCCCAATTTCAGGTGTTTAGCATTACCTAGTGATTATTCTTTCTTGAAAACAAAATCCTAAATTTTTGGTAATACTGCCACCAAGTGGTACTGATGACACATTTCCCCCCTCAAACAGAATTTTACTTTGAAAGCTGTTTGATTAATGAATTTTTCCATTCTGTGTAACAAATTTAGTAACTGTAAACATAAAAACACTTTGCCTGGTGCCTTTTTTAAAGCACATTTTAAATATTAGCAAGATGCCATGGTATTTATTGATTAGTCCACTTCATTATTCCCTTAATAAGTATAGCTATATATTCCTCCATATTACCACTTTACAAATTGAGAATTATTTCCAAGTTAGATAAAAGGCCTTACATGAACATTAGTTTTCCAAGCCATTTTATGAAATGATTATTTAAAATGCTACTTTCTTGTATGAAAGTTAAAATTAACATTTTAAAATCAAGTTTCACTTTGTTCAATGCAAAATTTTAGCTCTCCTTACAAAATACCAGATACATTATTACTTATATGTGACTAGTGTTACAAACACAGAATAAGTTTTTTTAATCTAATAAAGCTGTATCTCAAATTTGACATGTAATACAATCCCTATAACATTATTATTTCTCTTAGTCACAGCAAAAATGGCTTTTTAAATTGATTATTAATGACAGAGATGGTTTAAGAAACAGAATTTACAGAATAATGATAGGACTTCATTAAAATGACTTTAACATTTTATTGCTATCTATACTGATCATATATAATGCAAATAATGGCTTCTGGTGATTATACAGCATTCCATAAATACAGTCCAGGGCTTACACTTGAAAAATCTGTTACATAAACCATACAATAATATTTAGGCTTAATACATAAATTCAGAGCTAGGAAGCAAAGCCTAAAAGATTGCATTTTAAATGTCTGTCTCAATTCTTAAATTTGACATTTCCCAGTAGGGACTAGCACAACTTATGATTAGTAAAAGAATACAACCACAAAGTAAGAAAAGTGAGAAAAGTATTTCTTTCACAAAAAAAACCCCCACTAATACTACTATCATAAGTTATAATCAGGTCTAAGCAATAGTTTAATTTTTAAGTTGTGTTTAGTAATGTCTAAGAACATGAATTACAAACTTTTGCAAAATTAGTGAAATGAACTGGATAAATTACAAGAAAAGCAAATATACATGTTAGTGTTACTCCTCCCCCCCCCCCTTACCTAGTAGAGAAAACAGTTCAAGGGCTCACAGGCAAATGCAACACCTTATTTATATTTCACAGTTATTGCAATCAGTCAAATATTAAATAATTTAATTCAGAAGTATTACTTATACATACAAACTACACTTGTAACAATATGACCTTTTACTTGAAAAATAAAGAATGAAATATTTACCTATTTACATAGTGTCCATAACACTGACACTTTTTAAAAAACTCTGTTTTCTAAGAGTTTTGTTGTTGTTAAACAAAAAATACATTTGAAGAGACTTAACTAAAACTGCCACTTAAAAGCACATCAATGGCCTCATAGCAGTTCAACTAGTAAGATTTTATTTAATCTTAAATGACAAAGCATAAAGAAAAACCCATGAGGTCCAATCTAGCTATGTTTAAATATAACAACTTGTACCTTAAGGGAATATCCTTAAAAAATGAAACAGTAAAGAGCACAAAATTTTAAACTTTAACTCACACTGCATCATGTGATGTAAACATTTTCAACATTTTTTTCTTTTCCTTCCTTAGACATGTTCTTCCTCTTACTCTTTCAAAACCTTGTCAAGAACACTGATCACATTTTATTGTCAAGATAAATATTCCAATTTTAGGAAAACATTTTACAGTAACTGATGTAATAAGCATTAGCCACTGTTTAAATGACTTCCTTGAAGACAAAGGTAGTTTTCTACTTAGATCTACATCTCATATAAAGCCAACCCTGGTTTGTATAACTATGTATTACCATGTATAGTCATTCCCACTAAAGAAGCAATATTAATTTAAAATATACTAAGTCTTTAAGTATGTTGAAAAATAGAAGGACCATTTAGAGTTCTGCCCTAGGAAATAATACAGGTTCAACCTTGGAAATAACTTTTCATAATTGAAGATCAACTAGAACATAACTTAATTTTCAGTTTTATTACTTAATGTTCTTCAGTTAATTACTAATCTGACAATTAGGCCTCATCATTCTGTGTAGACAACATTTCATTCTGACTCAATGGGTTTTATACAAAATGCTTTGGACAAAGTTTTAATAAAACACTATAAAATATCATTTACATATAGCTTATAGTTTTTAGCAGTACAAGTGTCCTATTACACTGAACAGGTAAATGTAACCCTGTTATCCAAAGATGATGTTTGGATTTCATCCCATTAAGTCACTGCCTTTTTGCTACTACTTAAATACTGCCAAATTTCAATGAAAAGGCAAGTGAAAGAAGCTATGTTTCACTTGCTTTACACAGAGATGGCATCAGGTACTCAGCAGGCTATTCGTTTTCCACTGAAAGAAAAGCCTTCATTTGCCTTCCTCTGTAACTATTTCTCTCCCAGCCTATGGGTCACATATAATCTGAAAAACTTAAATAACAAATGTACATTTTAAAAAGTATATACTCAAAAAATTCCTATTTAATTCAGTTTAATCTTCTCAATCACATATTTGAATTTTTGCTACAGAAATTTTTTAAAAGCAATACTGTACTGATTTCCCAGTCCAAGATTCCTTTTGTATGTACCGCATAAATTATCTTTGAGATGTAGAATTTTTACAACATATTATGTGCAAAATAATCACAAAACTTTAAACAAGTGCCACATTTAAAATTAAGCCACATCCAACACTCCAGCAGCCACAAGTTGCCGTGAGAGCCAGTCCAACCCTTCATACAGTCCCATACCACTTCGGGCATCACAGCCCTGAATATACCAGCTACGACCACAGCACAGTTTATGGAGACTGAGAAGTTCAGTGATTTCTTCTACTGACAGAGCTCCAGCAACATCCTGAAAGATATATATACATGTCAGAATTTCATCAAAATTATCACTTTTCTAATTATATATGTCTGCTGATATTCCAACAGAAGCCTAAAGTTAAAACCTAAATTCATCTTTCAGTAATTATTTTCAGATTATTAAGAATAAAGAAATTGGAGTTTTGATTAAAATTATTTGCTTACTTATATACTTTGTAAGACAGACTTCTAATGAAATCAATAAAGGCAACTTAGCCTGAGTAATACCAAGCATCAATTTAAAAGAAATTAACATGTTATAAAAATGGCTTACATAGCATTTATAAAATGAAGTGTACATTAAACTCCCGCTCCAACACCCCAGAACACCTCTCTCCCAGAAGCAACAACCAGTTACAGTTTCCTATTTTTCCAGAAAGTTCCCATGTACATACATACAAATAGACACAAACAGGAACAGACTCTTTTTTTTTTTTTTTTTTTTTGAACATGTATCTTAAAGATACCTGTCCATTATCAGGACAAGCAGATTTCCATGTTATTTTTAGTATCTGCATTTTCATTCCATTGTGTAGATACACAAAATTTTCTTATATTTGCAAAATTATCTATAGAATAACCTTGGGATATTGGCCTGCAGAATACATTAGTAGACATGGAACTGAAGGGTAAAAAGTCGTATGCATCTAATACTTCCAGCATGTATGGCCAAACTGCCTGCTTAAAAAAAGATCTCAGTTTAATCGCCACACTGACAGTCTGAGTCTGAGGATTACCAAACATTATCAAATTGTACATTGTGTTTTTTTGCATGGCCTTAATCATAAGTAAAGTGAAATGCATTAGCTCTTACCTTTTTATTTAAGGGGGAAAAAAATCTTATTCTTCATTCTATTATGATGTCTAACCTCCCCACCCCGCATTGCACTTAAAAGCACACTCATCTTCCTAGAAGCATAGGCTCAAGATCTAGGAATCGTTACTCCCTGTCCTTCATCCTCCCTATTTGGTCAGCAAATTTTACCACCATAAAATGTCTTCAATCGGTTTCCACCATTCTATTCCTCTAATTCAGGATTTTGTTAACGCTCACTTGAATTACTGCACAATGGACTGCATCTTCCTATCTGTAGTCCCTTGCCCCTGGATTCACTCTATATCCTATCTCCAGGATTATAGTCTTAAAACACTAATGTGACCTAATCACTAATACAAAAATCTTCTGATGGTTTTCCTTTATGCATAAAATAAAACCTAAATTTCTCAATCTGATCCTATCAGGACAATGTTGCCTAATCTTTCACTCGAGATTTTCTTCATCGTCTACCTGCCTCTCACATACAGGTGTGCCTTATGCTCCCTGAAAAGACTCATGCTTTCTTTTCTTTTCTTTTCTTTTTTAAGATTTATCCATTTATTTATACAAGCACTGGATACGGTCAGAAGCGTGGGAGGGTGAGAGAATTCACCGGAGCCAGAGTGGGGAACAGAGCAGGCAGACTGATGAAATACACTGCTGAGGGGAGCAGCGGGCGCGGCAGGAAAGACCCAACGGCCAGGGATCGAACCGGCGCCGCAGAGGCTGTGAGCAGCTTCACAGCCCAGCACTCAACTGCTGTACCACTGGGGAGGCCCACTCATGCTTTATTTTCTCTGCCTGCAATGTCCTTTCCTTCACATATTGACTCAAAGTATTATCCATAATTTCAACTCAAATTCTACTTCTTATAAACCTTCTAAGATGCCACCTGTAAAACTCCTCTCTCACTAATTTTCCCTAACACTTTTATATTACTGAAGTTACCTGATTTCTTTGTATTAGAATTCCATCTATATTCACTTATATATTTACACCAGTTTCTGGTGAACATCTACTCTCACTTCTTTTTATATATTCCAAGGTACCAAGCACAACACTTCCACATAGATTACACTCAAAATAGCAGAAACAGTTGCTGTGATTCTTTTGAAATCTTTCCAGCTACCTTATTTCATAGGCTGGGAAAAAAAAAAAAACCCTACTACTTAAATAAGTATTCTAAAATACAAACATGTTACCTGTTTGTTAGCAAAAATCAGCAGCAAAGCATCTCGAAGTTCTTTTTCTGTTAACAACTTTGCAAGTTCGCTGTGTGCTTCACTAACTCTGTCTCTATGACTGCTATCAACAACAAATACAACAGCTATCAAAAAAAAGATAAGAACATTCAATTAGTCACATTAAGTTTCAGTTGATGGACAAAATATTTTAATGTTCTCATTATTATATTTTGGTTGGATCCCAAATAAAAAATAGTCTTTTTAGTGGAAAATAGGATATAATCACAAATTTCACATTGGTTTACAGTAGGCAAAAGCACAGAATGGGGCCCAAATGTAAACATATGCTAGACAGACTATATGTGATATGTTGGGTCAAAAACATGCTGCTGTAGATTATTCTGCAGATAATAATTATGAATAGAAATAAGGAAAGGAGCCAGCTACAGAGAAATTATAAATGGATAAATGTTGAACTGAATTAAATAGAACAGCAGGAGGACATGCCACAAATTGTATTCACCACCACAATAAGTAGTGCTCATACTCATCTGAACACTAATGATTATTAGGAGCAGCAAGGTAACTACTCTTAACTGCTTACATATTTCAGTTTAGTATGGGCTTATGCTATAATTTTATATTATCAGGAAATAAACATACATATTCTAGTTTTTCCAACTTCACTTTTTAAATGTGAATTTGGGTAACAGTATTTAGGGATATAGTCAAGTATTTAATCAATGCTTAAATATCAGCTTTATCAGTTAAATCAAGGGACTGAAATTTTTTTACTCTTACCTTGGGTATTGAGGTAATAATGTTTCCACAATGGTCTTAATTTATGTTTTCCACCTACATCCCAAATAGTGAACTTCAGATTTTTATATTCTACAGTTTCCACATTAAAACCTGTTTTTTTAAAAAAAAAAGTTAATATTAAGCTTATATTTAAATGAATGACACACAAAGCAAAGGCAACCCTCTGTAATTGTGACTTACAAATATCTTCACACAGCAGTATCTACTGCTGCATGATCAATTCCACTCCTACACTGGGAAGGTACATCTTTAAGAGCAATTAGCCCTTGAAACCTGCATCAGAGTCACCAATGACTTTGTTCCTTCCAACTGTTCCAACAACACTGTTCCTTCTTACTATCCCACCATCTACATTTCAACCCCACAATCACTGAATCTTGTAATTTTTCTGAAATGCTGGTATATTAGAGACAGACAAGCCCATTGCCTAGCCAGGTTGGCAGTAAGATCCAAAGAACTGGGCTGGAAACTAAGATGTGTCTATAAAAATATCTACATGGGCCTCCTTGGTGGCACCAGTGGTTAAAGTCTCAGCGCTATTAAGCTATAGCCGGCCACTGTGGCAATTTGATCCCCAGCCAGGGTGCTAACCTACATGGTGCAGCAGACCTCTCCTGATTCTCCCGCTGCTCCCCTCAGCAGTGTATTTCAGTTGGTCTGCCTGTTCTGTTCCCCACTCTGTCTCTGGTGAATCTTCTCACCTCCCTGCACCTCTGGCCTAGACCCCAGTTCTTACATGCATAATTTTTTTTTTAAAAAGAATGATTTAAAAAAACAATGTAAAAAGCAATACTCAAACTTACCAATTGTTGGAATAGGCTGCATGAACTCATCCTGTTTTAACTTAAACAAAATAGTAGTTTTTCCAGCACCATCTAATCCTAATGTAACAACTCGAATTTCCATTTTTGGTCCAATATGAACTCTATTATCCTATAATTTAAAAAATTATTGATCTTTTTAATTTGATATGAAGTTAGAAAGTACTAGCATTTACACTTTTATTTATAAGCTATTTATGTTATTATTTCCTTGTCTCCTATACATTCCTCTACCCATTGAAATGTTGAGTTGTATTCCCCAAAATACCTTGAATCTGATCTGTTCAAAGATAAATTATTCAAATCTCTCAGTAATAAATCTCTCAGTATATATATAGTATTATATATATATACACACACACACATATAAATAAATAAATGTACACATATACTTCATTTTCCCAAATTTTCTAGTCAACTTAGTCTAAATATATTATGCTGTTAAATATATTAATATAAAATGAAAATTGTCACTTATATCCCAGAAATATTTTTAACAATTTCATGTGTATGCCTCCACTTGCCTATGTAAACATTAGTTAACATGTACAAACCAAGTATTTTTTTTAAATACTGCAACTTCTTACACTCAACAGTATTGGAATCCTTTCATTTCAAAATATACAGATCTACCTTTTTCTTTCAATTGCTCATTATATTTCATGAGCCACAATTTAATCAACTACCAACTGACAGCTGTTAGGTCATTTCTGATTTTTTGATACTAAAAATAATGCTGCTATGAACATACATGTAACTAGCTACATGAACTCTGCCTCATTTCTCTCATCTATACAATGAGGGTAAAAATAGTACCAAATTTATATAGAATTTCTGCAAGGATTACTTTCATAAAATATAACTAAAACTCCTTGTAACAGTTGTTGGCATTTGATAACTGTAAATAAGTGCCAGCAAATTATTCTGCTTCATTATTTGAACACTTTTTATGGCTTTTATGAAACAAATTTTCCTGGTTTTCAATCCTTTTTGTATATTCCCTCCCATTTTCTTTTTATCCGTATCTTAAATGTTGATAGCTTCTCATTATACCTACTCATTTATTCCATCAGCTTCAATTAACATCAATGCAAAACATTTGCTCCCAAATCTACACTGAAATCCATTCCTACAACTCAGAAATAATACATTATGTGGACCAGAATACCTTTGTGAGTAGCTATATTAGCAGTCAAGTCAAAATAAAACCCAAGAAGAGATTCCAGCAAGAGAGGAGGAAAATAGAATTCCTCTCCCTACCCAGAACAGCATTGTGGAATTGGGAGGGAAGCTCTTATGCCAGTCTCTTTCCTTGAGGCAGAAACAAAATGTGAAATAAGCCTTCAATTTTTGGCTTACTTAGGGACAATCCTAGACACTGGCTTCTGTCTAACTAGAACATCTTAGGGACTAGTGGCATAGTTTGGAAGCCACTGTAAACAGAGTCAAGAAACTCCCTGCAGGTATGCAGGGAGTCACAGTGGGGAATAAGAAATTATTAACTTGTGAGAAGTAGGGAAAAGCTGCTAAGGTATTTTGAGATGGCTAAAAACACATGTCCAAGGCCAGAGAAGATACATTCTCAGAACAAGTTTTGAGAAGTCCTAGAATCTCTCACAAGGCTCACAAATGACAGTTGTCCAATGCATGAAACCCACCCATAAAGATTGGGTAAGGAAGATGCTTCTTCAAAAGATCACAAGATATAAAAAGAAACAGGGAAACATTACTAAATCAAAGGAACAAAATAAAATTTAAAAACTGAACTTGCAGAAATTTGGATCTGAGCTATGAATTAAAATAAATACCATAAAGATGATCAATGAGCTAAAAGAAATACAACTAAAAATTTGAGAAAAACAATGGACAAAATGAGACACTTAAAAAAAAAAAAGTAGATTCTGTACCCAAAGGACACAAAAATACTAATTCAAAAGGAAACCTGCACTCCTATGTTTATTGCAGTCTATTTACAATAGCTAAAATATAGAAACAACCTAAAAGTCAAAAAACAGATGAATGGATCAAGCAGATATGCTGTTTACACAATGGAATACTACTCAGCAATCAAGTCATTTGATATTGAGTCAGAAGAACAAAATGAAGAAAAGCAAAGAGAATGAATCTAAGGAACTGCTGAGACACAATGAAGTGGGCCAATATACACATTGTGAGATTCCAAGAAGGAGACGACAGAAGGAAATGGATAAAAGAGATCACTTGAAGAGATAATGGCTGAAAACTTCCAAAATCTAAGAAAGAGACATAAAAATACAAGAAGCTCAGTGTATTTCTACGGGAAAGAGGAAAAGGATGGAGAGGTCAGGTATAAACATTAGACTTCTCTGAATGAATCTTGCTTTGTAGATTTGACTTTGGACAATGTAATTATGTTTCACATAATTATAAAACAAAAAAATTTAAAAACCCTACAAGTAGAAAGCAAAAGGAACAGATGGAATGTTTTAAATTGGGGGAAATCACTGTAAAATCGACAAAAATTTTTGACCAAATGCCAATTACAAGTCTTGTTTGGAGTCTCAACATATCCAACTTAAAAAAAAAAAATTTTAGAACAATCTAGGAAATGTAAATACTAACTAATGAATGTTAGAGATTTATTAAGCTTTTAGGTACTCTGGACACTGAAAAGAGTCTTTACCTTTTAGAGATACACATGAAAGTATTTTGCAGATGAAATATGATATTAGGATGAAATGGTAAGTTACAAAATGTTCCAAAACAACCTGGGAGACTAGGTAGAAAGAGGACTGGGGAAAAGGATAGATGAAATAAAAAGTTTCTAATTGTTAAAGTGGGTTATGGGTACACAGAGATTCAGTATTCCATTTCTGTTCACCAATAAGAAAATATTTTTGTTTAATTTTATGATTCATTTTTCTTAGTTTTCTCTTCAAGCTGATTATAAAAGAATGTAAAACATGCATTGTCAGAAGACACACCTAAAAATTAATTATGGTACATTACCTTTGTGAAAGTGACAGGGATGCTGGCATCTAACTGAATGTGATCTGCAACCTCTGTAAACTGCTGCTGCTGTTTCTGCAGTGTTTCCAGTAGCCTTGTAATTTCTTGTTTTGCCAAAACAACTCTACAGTCATCCTAGGGGGAGGAGGGGGAAACCAGTTATTTCTTATAAACTTGTTAAAAAAAAAAATAAGGAAAAAGAGGTATCACCAAAACGCAAGAAAGTTCATTGAACATTACAGTACTGAAGGTTAACTTAAATGTAAATTTGACTAGGATAATAGAAGGGCACTAATAAATAATTTACAAACCCTTCAATTGATGCATGAACAGTACACTATTGTGTATTTACAAATACAACACTGTACTACAGTGAAAATGAACCATAATTACATTGGATGACATGAATTTCACAAATGAGTAAATGAAAAAATGGCATGAAGAATCCATATAAAATTATTCCATTTACATTAATTACCAAAACAGACAAAAATAAGGTATGCATTAGAAGTCAGGATAGTAGTTTATCCTTATGAAGAAAGGCAGATAATTACTAGAAGGCAGTCTGAGGGTCATCTGACATACTAGTAATATCCTGTCACTTGATTTGACTAGACACTATTGTCTAGTCTACAATTTCAGCCAACTGAACCCTTAAATACACATTTCTGTATGTATGTGGTACATCTATAAAAAGTTTTTTAAATAATTTTAAGATATACACAAATTGGTTTAAAAATATAAAAGGATTAAAAGTGAAACTTGGAAAGGCCTCCCTCTTTCATTCTAAATTCCCTGACCCTCCCCTCAATGTCAAATATTTTCTAAGTTTCACAAATATTCCAGAGATACTCTAAACATATACCACCAACACAGTCTGCATATGACAGAGATCTACTAACAATATTTAAGCTCCATGGAAGCAGTGGTGTTATCTGTTGCCAAATTATATATTCAAATAAGCTGATAGGAATTCCATCACTCGATTTGCTCAGAAAAAAATATCTTGAAGTCATTCTTGCCTTTTCTTCCTTCATACCCCACATATATGATTCATCAACAAATCCTACCTGATACCAAGAATCTGAGCATTTCTAACCCCTGCTATCCAAGCCACTATTATGTTTCACTTGGAATTCACAATAGCCTCCTCACTATTGAAATCCATCCCTCTTTGCCCTTGTCAATTGATTTTTACACAGCAGAGTGATCCTTTAAACAAGTAAGATCAAATCATTCTAACCCTGAAAACCATACAGTGATTTTTTCCCATTTCAGTCAGTAAAAGTTGAAGTCCTTCCACTAGTCGATAACATATAACACCTACTAAGTAATTTTCCAATACTCTGTCACTTACTCTATTCTAGCCACAATAGCCTCTTTCGCTATTCCTCAATGGAGAAGGCCAAAATGACAGCACCAAATGAAGTATTCACAGTCTGGCCACATTCACATGCATTATCAGATACTGAAAGTATAGAAAAACTCTACGGAGGTGGGGAGGGGGAGGGAGACAGCGCCGCAAAACTGTCCGCAGCCTCTGCAACGATGCTTCCATCTCAGCCAGCCAGCGAGGGTCCCACATGGCATGCAGACCTCTCATGTCGCGCCTGCTGCTCCCCTCAGCAGTGTATTTCAGTCAGTCTGCCTGTTCTGCTCCCCACTCTGTCTCTGGTGAATCTTCTCACCCCCCCAGGCCTCTGGCCTGCACCCCAGTTCTTGTATGCATAAATAAATAAATCTTTAAAATAAAACAGGCTTGCTCTAATATTACTGAATTAGAGCAGAGATAGGTAGTAGAGAGGCACCGCCTGGCCAAAAGAAAGAGAACTTCAAAGAACAGCAAACATTTGAGCTAGACTTTGAAGGACATCCACTACCAGAGAGGAAAATATTAAGTCCACTAAACAGAAAAAATAGTACATGACTTGTACTATTTTTGGATGGGCATGACTGAAATATCCATGGTTTTATGGTAGATATGGCCCATGAAGAAGCCACTGATAAGGTTGGTGGAATAAAATGGAGGTTAGAGACTATGTCTTAAGCACAACATTTAGTGTATGAAATAGACACAAAAAATACTTACTGAATTAATGAAATAGAACAGTGTGTATGTCTAATTATGTCTACTTAATCTTATAAATTCTCCTTCTTAAACTATGTCCTAACCACGTTTAAACTCTCTACCTGTTGCAAAGTCTTTTCACAATGGAGACAGGCTGTTGAAACCTGGGACAACAAAATAGTCATATCTTCTTGTTGCTGCCTGAGCCAAATCAATTTTTCTCGAACATGAGCATCAACAACACTTAGAGCCATTTCTTCTTGACGACACAGAGTTTCATGAAGATCGGAAAAATAAGCTCGAACACATGATCGGGCATTCTCTGCAGTACCTGGTACCTAAGGAAATAAAAATAACTTATTAAACAACTATTACCTTAACAAGTATTTTATACATGAAATAATGAAAATTTAAATACTAGATCTACATCTTTATAAATTCCAAAATTTCTATCTTCACACTAGATCTCTCTCCATAAATACAGCCTTTGGATAGCCAACTATTTAAATGACATGTCAAGGAAAATATCTAATCTCCTATCTCTCCCATCTCAATAAATGGCAAGCCCACCCTCTCCAGGTTATTCAAGTAAAAAAAAAAAAAAATAGGGTTACCATTAACACTTTTGTATCCTACAACCAGTTCCCACAGCAAATTCTGCTGACATCAATAAGTTCTCACTTAATAGGTCCTCACTTAATGTCACTGACAGGTTCTTGGAAACGGCAATTTTAAACAAAATTACTTAAATGAAAGCAGGTCCCTGACTAATAATGTCTTCATTCAACTTGACTGGGATTGTTTTTTCTCATCATCATTATAATGAAACGACACTATCTGAGGATCTGCTGTATATCTACCAACCTGATCCAAAGTCATTTCTCAGCTGATTACTATAATGGTTTTATAAATGGTCTCACTAGATCTATTTCATTTCCTATAATCTATTGCAGCCCTTTTAAATGTTAATCAGAAAAATAATTAGTTTATGCTCAAAACTCTCTAATGGTTTTCCATTCCACTCAGAGTAAGTAAATGCCAAAATCTATCATATGAGATTTTCAAGGGCAGACTTGAGAAGGTCAAGATAAGTGAGCAAAGACCTGACAAAAGTAAGAGGAAAACAGGCAATTATCTTGGGAAAGAGCGTTCCCTGGCAGAAAGAAGAGCAAGTGCTTTTAGGCCATTTCTATCATCTATTCTCTTACATTCCTTCTCATTCATTCTACTCCAGCTATACTTAGCCTCCTCACAGTTGGTTAGGTACACCCAAACTTCAGAGTCTTTACATTAGCTTGTCTTTCTGCCTTGAATGCTCTGCCCCTAAATATTTATTTGCATGTTGCTCTCTTATTTCCACTAAGTACTTGCCCATTATTCCTTTCCTAGAATGTCAATCCTTGAACTCCCCATAAAAAAGTTTACTATCTTTCTACCTTGTCTTTCTCCAAAGCACCTAACATAATTCTGTCTTGAAGTATTTTATTAGTGTCTCTAACCACATTAGAATGTAACTCTGCAAAGGCTGAGGATTTTGACTTGCACAGTGGTGTTTTCTTAGCTAGACTACGGCTAGATCAATGTAGCACATTTGGTATGTGTTCAATAAATATCTGCTGAGGGAGTAAATAAAATATATCCACTCTAGCACAACAATGTCTACCAGGACTTTCTATGACACTGGATATGGTCTACAGCTGTGCCATCTAATATGTTTGCCACTAGCTACAAGTGCCTACTGAGCACTTAAAATATAGGTAGAGATTGAGACACTAAATTTTGCATTTTAATTAATTTTTAAACAATTTAAACAATTAGCCATACGCGGCTTGTGGCCACTACGAACAAAGCAGTTCCAGCAACATCCCCCAATGACTTAGCTTTAAATATGTTTATTTATTAGAGAACATTACATCTTGTCTGTCCCCATATTATACAATTAAGGAGTACCCCTTAATTCATTGGAAAGTATTTCCATCTGATTATTTCACAAAAATAATAAAATTCAACAGCCAAAAATAAACATCACCTTGGTCGCATTAATTCCCCCCAAAATGCTTCCTCCTCTCCCATCAGTGCATGATATCATCATTCATTAGTAGAGCAAGGTAGAAACCTAGCTTATCAAGCCTGACCCCCCCAGTTACCCATCTAATCAATATTATCAATCATTAAGACCCACCAATTCTACCTCTTTAAAATTTCAAATCTATCTACTTGTTCCCATACTCACTACCGAGGCCATAAACATCCCTCAAGTTGGTAACTTTAGCTCCTAACAAGACTCCTTGCTTCTAATCTTATTTCTCCTCGAATTCATTTTTTTATATTAAAGAGCAAGCTTTCTTAATGAAATCCAACTGTTATTTTTATGTCAATTCTTCAGTGGCTCAACACTGTCCTTTAGACAAAGTCCAAACTCTTGAACATGGTTAACAAGATCCTACAGAATTTGATTCTTAACTCTCCAATTTCTTTTCTTGCTATATGCCCCACCCAATACAAACTCAAAGCTCCAACCATAGTTAACATCTTTAAGTTTCTACAATATGTACAATTTTCACTTATAGATATTACAACATACATTTCCTTCTCTGGGACAACTTACACACAAAATCTTTCAAATTTCAGTTAGATATTATGTCTTTTAGGAAGATGTTCCTGATTCATCTACATTGTTGTACCTCCGATGCATTGCCAAAGAATCCTGTACTTACCACACAAAACTATCACACTTGAAACCATCTCTTTTCCATGATGTTCCATGAAGACAGAGGCTGTTGAAAAATTTATTTCCAGTACTGGCATATGTAATTACTCAATAAATATTAGTAGATTAAAAGATGAGGAGGAAAAAGTATAGAAAGGAGAAAAAAAATCCATACATGCTCTGTGTGGGCCATTCCAATTCCATCCTCTACTATTTGTTCTCCTCCTTCAATGTGCTGAACGATTCCAACTAATTTCCTGGAATAATCTGAAATTTCCTCAGTGAACGTCCGTATACAGTGAGCCATATCTAAAATTGATGCTCGGATCTGGTTAGCCTCTGGTTCCAACACTGAATGCTATAAAATGCAACATAATTATAGAAAAGGACTCATAGTATTGACTACTGACATAAAGAACTACTTAAGCATCTGTCACAAGTAGTTTTTATAACACATTTAGAAAAAGCATAGTACAAAAAGGTAAAATAGGGCCTCCCTGCTGGCCTAGGGGTTAAGTCTCAGTGCTATCACTGTGACAGTCTGAGTTTCCCAGGCCAGGCCAGGGAGCTAACCCATATATGGCAGAGCAGACCACTCCTGTCACACCCACTGCTCCCCTTAGCAGTGTATTCCAGTATATCTGCCTGTTCTGCTCCCCACTCTGTCTCTAATGAATCCTCTCACCCCCTGCATTACTGGTCTATACCCCAGTTCTTATATGCAATAAATAAATAAATCTTTTTAAAAAAAAGGCAAAATATATTAAAATGACTTCATCCCTGTGTAAGAAAACTACCGTGCAAACAAATCATTTAAAATTTGGAAGTTCATTTATTACTAAACAAACAAGAATCCAAAAGACCTTCTCTATAAAGTTTTATCATAAGCAATAGTTCGTCAATAGATATAAATACTGTCAAAACAATCCAGCATATTATGAAAACATGCACATGAAGAAGAGAATTTCTATTTCCTGATGGAAAGTTATCTTTCAAAAAAGGAAAAAAATCATGAGGTCTCTCTGAAATTTTAAGACACTCAAAAATTAAACCTCGTTTCTTTTCATGCTACAGAGCTCAACTTTCATCACTGAATTCTTCTTTAATCTCTATTGTTAACATAAAGAGTCAGGTCAGTGAAAATAACTGGTGGGCTGAAAAATTATATTCATACCTTGTGACCTTGGTGCTTTCCATATTCTTTGCAGACACAGCACATAAGTGGGCTAGTTTGACAGCCTTCTTCCAAGCAAACAAACTCAATGGCATGCACCTGATGCTGAGAGCACATGGTTTTCTCATGAGGTTTATCAGCTAAAGGCACTCGCCTGTGCTTAGCTAATGTCTTTGTAGAATGAGTAACCTGGGAACATTCTGAACACAAGTGAGTTGCACATACAGTGCAATAGACGGATGCAACGTGAGCTTCATCTTCATCGCAACGAATGATGCTCTGCTAAACAAAAAAACTGATGTTTTAAAACTGAACCCCGATCATTATAACATGACAAATTCTGAAACATAAAATTCCATAATTTTGTTTTACCCCATCAGCCTTTGTATAAGAAAATATATTGGCAATTAAGTATTTTTTTGCTCATCTAAGAACATATTCATTTATATGGGTGAGATGTTATTTCTGAGATTTATTACCAATATACACAATGAATCTGAGGCTAAAAGTAAAACTATTCTCATAGACTAAGTCAGTGCAACGATATCTTCCACGAAGTACCCCCTGTCCGTCCTTTATACCTATGAAACTGAATAGAGATTAGTTTTTTAAAAACTAAATAGTCTGATATTAAATACGTCTCCAAATGCTTGCAATATTACTTATGATGCTAAACAGGAAGAAAAGAAGCACAAACGCTCTTTAGATAACAAGGGACTTAGACAGAATCAGTTGTGAAGTTTTAAAAAACACAGAGACCCAGGTTCAAACTGGGTAATACTTATTTCAATAGGTCACGGGTGAAACCTGGGCTTCTGTAGTTTTTTTCTAAAGATCCATAGGTAAGCTTGGTTGAAAATCACTGATTAAAATTAACAAGTTAAAAAAAATAAAATCTACATTCTATTAAGTTTTTAAATACTATTTCTAATTTTCATTAATTATTAAAACACATTTAAAGCTGAAAAATTTACATGTGACATAATCAAGAATACTTTAAAAACTTTTGCTGAACATTAAAAGGCCATATTGAAAAGGAAAAAATTTGGTATAAATTTTTCTAGAAATAAAAATTAGAAAATACATTGGTGGGGTCTTTCAATATCAATTAAATAAGAAATGAACCCAAAGTTAAACAGTTTACAACTATGAAAAACTATGTGTACATGTGAAATAAAAAACTCATGTCTTTCGTTTTCCTAACCTGACATATATTTAGTTTTACTGACCTAACATAACTTACAAGGTCAACATTAGATAGCAGATTAATGACTTCTGAAAAAAGATGAAAGACAAAACATAGGAAAGAATTGCAAAAATTTAGGAAACAGTGCTTCAGTTTCACATTCATTTCACTGATTCACTTTATATAAATCATGTTCTAATAGAAGTGGAAATCAATCTGATATTTATTTCTTTATATTAAGCATGTGGTTTTAAAGTTGATCAAAATCATTACTAAATGTTACCTACAACTATTCTTAAATCCACAACAGTCTAAAAACCCATTGTAGGGTAAAGAAAAAATGTCGGGCTTTTCTGCCCTCCCGCCATCAGGATAGATGATGGATCCTTGAGGTCCTGAATGCATGCCTGATGGCGGGCACCTGGAGCAGGGTGTGGGCATAGGTAGATGAGATCCACCTGGGCTAAGACTATGCTTTTCTTTTTTTTTTTTTTTTTTTTTTTTTAAATATTAAATTTTATTTTTATATTCCCCCATACAATTGCAAACGCCCCATTCTGACCCCAATCCTCCCCTCCCGCCCCCCACCCCCCAAAAAGTGTCTCTGGTTCATAGTTTTTTGTTGATTTTGATTTTCACTTTCTTATATTCATTTTCCTGGTCCCTTATTTAAGTTTTCTAGATTCCTGCTATGAGTGAGACCATCCGGTATTTTTCTTTTTAAGACTATGCTTTTAAGGGCGGCGTCACGGGGACGCCAGTAGAAGCCAAGAAGCCGAGAAAGAAGCAGCAGAAGCTGAGAGAGAAGCAGAGAACGCTGGAGAGCCCAGACAGAGTGAAGACTTGCTGGAGGCTGGGAGGCCTACCAGCCTCCCGGCCCCCCAACACCCCTGCCTGCAGTGTACCTGGTAATCCCAATAAAAGACCTGCCAAAAACCACTGAGGGCTCCAGGACTCCTCCTTAACCCGGTCTGCTGGATCAGAAAACCTGCACTGTGTCCATTCCTGACCTCTACACTCATGTCCTGTATTACATGAGTTATGCAGGCAATTAAGAATTAAACATGTATTTTAACCTGTGTTAGTGAACTTCCCTCTAATATTTATTGGAGCCCTACCTGTCCCAAGAGAGTATATCCACACATAATTTAACCTTTTCCTGAAGCTCTTAATGGTAGCAAATCCCTCTGGAGCTACTGCTATCTTTAAAAGGCATTTTGCTTCTACACAAAATGGTCTCTTTCATGGAGGTCCTCTTTGTGCTTTGTGTTGACTGATTCAGTTTTGTATCCTCTGCCTTAATGTAGCTTATATATACTTCTTGCTTTCCCATAATCTCCTTACTCTTTGACTTTAACCTTGAATAGAAATCAACTACGATAAGGAGACAAATTTACACATAAAACATGGTTTGGATATAATAGTTTCAGAAATTCAAGCTTCAGTTTTACTTTTGCTCTTTGGGAAATATAGCTGCCTTAAAACTGTAACAAAATAAACCTGCTTCTGAAATCCTAGCTGCTGAAGAGAAATAATATGCTTTTAATGTCAAATATTGTAAGTTAAAGAAAAAATTCCTACCAATAAAAATATTTCACCAAGCTTAATCAATACCTCTCCAGATATCCCAATGGTTTCTTCTGCAGTTCCATACTGAACAACATGTCCATTTTGCAGTCGTTCTAGAAGTTCCAATAAAGCAAAATTTTTTTTCAAACCCCACACACCTGAATCTCCTGGAATATAAAAAATAACTTAATCTAAGAAAATGAAATATTAATAATTTTATCTGAGCTCTCAACATTAATTTTGAAGTCTTACTGTTTAATCACTTGTGTCTAAATTTTAAAAATTCAAATTTCCCTAATTTCTCTATACTAGAACAATTATCTTATTAATCTCTTAAAAAACAGATCTCTTCATGATTCTAAGTACTAACATACTTTAAAATTCTATTATTTTTCTATCATTTAATAAATTCTTTTGTCACTTTCATTACATATTCTAAAACAGTACTTTAAAATATTTTTATGGCAAATTACAGATAAGATCTATATTTACATTGCTACCCAGGATAACATATATGTATGTGTATATATTCATATACACACATACATATACACATATATAACTGAAAAAGTTTCACACACCAATATTCACTCTTATAGTGTGCAACACACTGATTTTTTGTACTATTTCCTTTTTTAAAGTTGTTTATAACCGATTAAACCTATTTTATAACTCATATTTGAAAATCACTGTACAGAAGACACACTGACTAAAATGCTCCATCTCTAAGTAAACTAGAACTAGAACACCCAAAGATATTTTTCCCTATCCTTTACTAATCTAGAACTCAATGACAGTCAGTAACTATGTAACTCTTTCCCATGCAAACATACAGAACCTCACACAAAAGTAAGACAATAATCCCTTCTAGGATGACAGTACTAGGCACATTTGAATAAGGACCAATGCGTCCTTTCCCCAGGACCAACCATAAAAGGTCAGACAAGCATGCATATGTGAATAATGCACATACACACAAACTCTTCCTGTGTTTGTAAGTAAAAGCCAGATCCCTTAGTGGTTAGAAGGACTGGTGCCTATTAGAAGGAATGTCATCATGTTGAGGTTCTATAAAAACAAATAGCACCTGATAAATAGCATCTACTACATATTCACTATATGAAGGGATGGATATAAAATAAAAAATAAATGGGATTATTAACTGCAGAGCTTTCCTTCCTCTTGTCCCTCTTTTCTCCTTTCTTTTAAAGTCACTTCTTATTGGGGTTCTCAACAAAATTTAAACTAGGCTAACTAGGCTAAATATCTTTAGCCTCCACTGACTTCTGTGACCTAATTTCCCAAGTACATTTATGCAAGCCACTCAGCTTTTCCTTCAGTCTTGCCACATTACCAGAGTTTCTCCTTAATTTTTCACATACACTCTACCACAAGCTGAGTTCTATTTACTCTACTTACATTACGGTTAAGAAGTACACCAAGTGAGTCCCTTACTTAAATATATCATCTTGACAGTTTTCCAGGTATTATCATTATATGACACATACACATAAACTCCTAGCAATATATAGGCAGTATCTACCCATTGCCTAATATAACATTTATTTTTTATATTATTTATTTATTTATTTATTTATGCATACAAGAACTGGGGCGTAGGCCAGAGGTATGGGGGGGGGTGGAGGTGTGTGTGTGACAGGATTCACCAGAGACAGAGTAGGGAGCAGAACAGGCAGATCTACTGAAATACATTGCTGAGGGGAGCAGCAGGGCGAGACAGAACAGGCTCCCTAGCCAGGGATAGAACTTATGCTGCAGTGGTTGCCGACAGCTTCGCGGTGCTGAGACTTAACCCCTTCTGCCACCAGAAGGGGTTAAGTCTAATGTAGATTTAATACTACTTACATAACTGTCCAAATAACTTTAAAATTTCAATGTCTTAAAACAACAAAATTAACTGTTTGTTCATGCAACAATCTCAGGGCTTGAGGACAAGAGAGGTTCTGTTCCCCACTATTCATGATCATAACACAGGTCACTACGCCTCCAAACACTGGCCCATTTCACTGTATCAGGGAGAAAATTTTACCACAAACCATCATAAACTCCCTCTTAACAGATTCTACCTGCAAGTTAAAACTTCACTTCTATTCATATTTTACTGGTTAAAAAGAAATCACATAGCTGCACCTACTTATAAGAGGGCAGGAAAGTATAATTTTAGCAGGTGGACTAAAGAACAGAAATATTGCTGAACAGTAATAATAACTACCAAAAATAACTACTGATAATCATTCTTGGACTAAAGAATTTTGATTCTCTCATATTTATAATAGTTTTTTTCTCTAAATAGGATTTACAAATGACTTTCTTCTTTATACTTCTACATTTTTTCAAATTTATATGTAAACATACATATAATTTCTAGAATACAATTAAAAACAGATTTAAAAAAATGACATCAAACTATATCAAGGGTCACTTACATATTTTCCATAGGATGGAATCACAGTGAATATCCAGTCTCTAAGTTATAGTAATTACAATCTATATAGCCAAGGCAAAACCAATGGTTTCATTTTTTTAAGGTTGGTATCATAGCAATAATGTTTGATTTCAACCCAGAATACGATTAACCACAATGTACCATAAATTTCTAATTTAGTTAAACACTGAGCGTAGTGACAACCCACACTGTGGTATTTTAAAGAGTTCTTCAAAAAGGTTTAAGAAAGCTTATTTTTAATTTGCAAAACTGTAATTTTTATATAGTTCTATATTTTAAAAAAGTACATGTATATTTTACATAATAAAAAGCCAAATAAAAGAATGTCATGATAGGAACTACTGCTCTCACCCAAATTATTTCTTTGCTCCTAGTTAATATTACCTATAACAATGCTAACACTGTGCTATATTAGTTATATGATAATGGGCACACAAATTTAAATCAAAGATCACTAAAATCTTAAAAATATCTATTTTCTCCCTGTAAGAAAATATTTTACAGGGCATCCCTGCTGGCACAGGGGTTAAATTCTGTGCTATCAAGCTACCACCAGCCACTGCGGCTTAAGTTTTGAGTTCCACCTCCAGCCAGGAAGCTAAGCCACATGGCGAAGCAGATCTCTGCAGTCTCACCCACTGATCCCCTCAGTAGTGTATGTCAGTGGGTCTGCCTGTTCTGCACCCCACTCTGTCTCTAGTGAATCCTCTCACCCCCTGCACCCCTGGCCTACACCCCAGTTCTTGCATGGATAAGTAAAAAATATTTTTTTAAAAAAGAAAACGCTTTACAACCATGTTTTTTTAGCTTTTTAAAGCTTTCCAACCTAAAAAACTGGTGCTCTTGTTTTTCCTTTGTTTTGTTGGACAAATCATTTTGAACATCTTCAATTAATATTAAGGCAGTTTTTAAAAAAACAGTGCTACTGACCTGAAAAAAAAAAAATGGCACCTTTAAACAATTCATTTTGGAGAAAATTCTGTTACCAAATAGAATGAACTTACAGAATTTATAGCATGCCTTTAAAATAACAGTTCAGGGCCTCCGTGGTGGCACAAGGGGTTAAGCACCACACTATGAAGCAATCAGCAGCCTCTGCAGAAGGAATTTGATCCCACAGCCAAGGAGGTGACCCACATGGTGCAGCAGACCTCTCCTGTCTCGCCCATTGCTCCCCTCAGCAGTGTATTTCACTCAGTCTGCCTGTTCTGCTCCCCACTCTGTCTCTGGTGAATCTTCTCACCCACCCACCCCCCAACACCTCTGGCCTGTACCCCAGCTCTTTTATGCATAAATAAATAAATCTTTAAAAAAAAATAAAATAAAAAATGAAATAACTGTTCAAATGTAAATAAATGCTATTAAATCTGGTATCCCAAGGCAATAATTCATTTTAAAACACATAAAGTTTTAAAAATATGCAGGAACTGAAAAAAATCCACAAGATCTTTGAACACTTTTATAGCAAAAAGTTATCAAATAATAAACATACTTCTTTTTCTGATATCAGTAAACAAAAATATGCTGAGACTCAAACTATTTATCTGTATGTTCATTATGGCCTCTTGGTTTATAAAGGAAATACTGTTTCGTTGAATTAACAGCTTCAGGAAAATTAACATTCTTAATTCTGTCAATAAGGTTAGCATGTTTTCTTGGGTATTTTAAAGCTCTCCATACATAAGTATTGAATATAAACATTTTTACAAGATGAAATAAAATTAGTAAGAGTGTGCTCATAGATAGTTACAAGATTATTGGCCTTAAGAGAAACTGTAACCTCACTGGCGTTTCACAACTTTAAAAATCAGGTAAAAAAATAAGTTTTCTATGACATTGGTATTAAATGAACAATGTTAAAATCTTTAATACATACATATGTTTTCCTACCTAGGTCTGTTACTTGTCGATCAAAAGGGCAACGGATTGCTCTTCCATGAAGAGGCAAGCGGGTGAGACAGTCATGACAGACTGTGTGGCCACAAAGCAAAAGACGAGGAACCTTGTCTCCTTGCAAAGAAAAGACATCTTCACAGACTCCACACTCCAACACCTAACATTTGGAAAGGGAACATGTGCTCTTGAAATGATTTTGACAGAAAATAAGTTTTAGGTTTAAAAAAAAAAAATGAGTTACTATATTAAATCAATCTTGTTACATTACTCTAGTCCTCCACGGGAGGAAAAAAATCTAGTTATAAAACCTTAAAATAAGTTTTCTCATTTCATCTTCTAGACTCTACCAAATTGTACAATAGCATTACAGCGTAGGGAAATCTCCTTGCAATGGTGTCAGAAACCAAGATAATTAATGTAAATTATGATCATAATTATCTTTTGAAAATTTTAACTTGATTTATTATATCTGAATCTGTAACAGATATAATTCTACCAAACTGGGTTCTTAATTTCTCTGAATTACTTAACCCTACCCCAAAAACATTAATTTAGACAAAAAGTAATTTTGAATATGTGCTAGGGTGACAATTTACCCATGTAAATGATAAAGAACTTAAAAATAGGCTCTAAGAAATTCTCAAGTATCCTTCTAGTAACCATTTTTATCATATAATGTAAAGGCAAGAAAGCAATCACCTTAGTCTTAAGTGTCAATTCCTTATTCTCAATTAATAAATATGCTACTGGGTTATGAAATATTTTGTCCATTTAGTTCCAATTATAGTACATGATTTGCCCAAGACATGCAGTCAGTCAAAGGAAAGGCAACAAGAACCAGCATGTACTGATTCCCAAGCCTATGAGTTTATGATTTATAGTCAACAATCTACATATATGCTTTTCTTAACATAGCTAACTGCTTCACAATTTTAATTAATTTAAAAAATACCCACACTGAATTGCTTACCTTTACCACAAATTCTTATCCCTGTCATACAAGATGTACTATAATCTGGTCTCTGTCCTGCCACCACCAGCTTCATACTCTATTCTCCCATTATTTCAAAGAATTTGAAATACTCAGAGATGACAATATTTCTGCCTTTTTTAATGCTAACTCTGAGGAAACAGATTAACGGACATTTTCTTTGGGGAACTTTTTCATATTAATAAACCAACAAATTCCTAAACAATTGTATCTCTCAAGTCAACCCACAGCTCAGTCCAATGAGCCCTTGGGCACCCATGTACCATGCAAAAGTGTCTACGTAACACCCAAACCACTTTAATATCTTCATTGGCTTTCAAGCCTGTCCTTCCCTGTTACAACAAAAAGCTGTCAAGAACAGGGTATTCCAAATATCAAGCATAAGTACCCATGTACTGATATAAATAAAATCTAACAAAATAAAAATGTTTAAAGTTTAGCCAATAACAATACCCCAACAAATATACAATACAGGGCAAAAAATAGAAAGTGGAAATGAGACTATTAAAATCTTAATCTTAATTTGACAGTTAATCTGAATTTATACATGAAATGCAAACATCTCCCACTGTTAAAAAACATAATTCACAACTTGCTTGTATCCCAGTATGGTTCAAATGAGCTTGAATATAACACAGAAAAAGAAAATGGCTCTTTAAATACATACTTTAAAACAATGTTCATTTCACTCAAAACACTTTGAAATGCAATTAAAGCTATACCAATGTTCTTTTTTTTTTCAGAGCAGAGCAAAAGGTTGGTAACACTTTCTGTTGATGAAAGTGTTGGAGAGCAGGTATGCTCAGATACAGCTGGTGGCTGTGAAGTATTTACTGAGTGACGTACACTCAATGGAAGCAAGTTGGCAATACTTACTCAAAAGGTAAAATAGCTCTGTCATTCTACTTTCTGAAATTTATCTTACTAATATATATTTACTGTGACAAGATCTCCATGCTATTTCTTACAGCACCATTTGCATTAGAAAATACTGAAAACAAAGTATCATTAATATAAAACTGAAAAACAATAATAGTACATTCATATACTACACAAGTATGCAATCTACAAAGGAAAAGGTTGGAAGTATTTTATGTAAACACACAGGATGATTTTATATGAATAAAGAGTAAAAAAATGAAAGAGTATAACTTCTGTGTAAAGGTGGGGAGCTCAAGAAAATATTTACATACACACTTATATATAATGCATATATTTATACTCATACATCTAAATAAATGTATTTATATATTTCTATGCAGACATATATGTATATACATTATCAAAAAAGGCAAACTGCCCTGGCAGAATACAAAGGAAACTGATTATATTGGAATAGTGGTTCCATGAGGAAGAAAAATAGCTGGGAACATCTACAAATATATACATAATATATACATAATATATGTCTACAAATGTATACAAATATATACAAATATATACATAATACACTTTAATTTATTCTATATTTTTAAAAAGACAGGAAAAGCATCACTTAAATATCTTCAAATAATAATACTGAAAAGCTATAACACAATTAGATATTTAAAATAAAAGCAACATTTTTATAAATGTTCCTACCACAGTGACAACTAGAGTAAAGCTTTTTATGAAAATAAACTACAAAGAGCCAAATTAAAAATGTATTTAGGGGCCTCCCTGGTGGGGTAGGAGTTAAGTCTCAGGGCTATCAAGCTATTGCCAGCCTCTGCAGCCTGGGTTCCATATACAGCCAGGGAGCTAACCCACATGGTGCAGCAGACCTCTCCTATCTTGCCTGCTGCTCCCCTCAGCAGTGTATTTCAGTAGATCTGCCTGTTTCGCTCCCCACTCTGTCTCTGGTGAATCCTCTTACCCTTCCACCCCGTTCCCCCTCCCCCACACTTCTGGCCTACACCCCAGTTCTTGCATGCATAAATAAAATAAATCCTTAAAAAAATTTATTTATTTCATTCATATCTTATATCTCTGACTCCATTATTACACAAGATAAAAGAACTTATGTTGCTACCATAGGTTTTTTCAAAAAGCACTAGTAGAATTCCACAGATTGGTAAACCACACACAGGTCCAAAACTAAAGTTACTAGGTTATTTTCCAACAATCCAGTAAATAACAGAGTAAGAAATTCTTTCTTCGGTATTTATGAATAGGAATTATAGCTAACAACATAAGAAATGAAGCCCAAGATCAAAAATTACTCTTAATTTTAAAAGCATCACAAATATGCCACAGAGGGCTTCAAACATTATTAAAAGCAAATCAGATTTTAATAAGCTAGACCATATTTTCAAAAACTAAAGATTACTACTCAAAAGACTTTCCTCACATATTTTGAATGTAAATAATTTCATAACATCACACTTTTGCCTGTTTTTTCTAAAGTCATTATCAACTTGTTTATTATGCAGGAGGACATTTTACATATTACTAACATTTTATACTTCAACTTTACCCTCTGATAAATAATTCTTGGTTTCATCTATGAAAATGACATTGAGATTTTGAAAAGTTTATACCACCACACTCTTACAAAATGTGTCATTAGGATATTGCCAAAGGAACTACCTTGTTTCACAACTTAGGTACATTTTCTACATAAAGAAGAAAATGACAAATGTGAGCCTGCTAACAAACATGAGTTAAATCAGGCTTTGGTATGCTTTTGCAATTTTTAAGGCAATTATGCTAAGAAAAGCAGATACAGCAATAAAATCTATTCCAATTAAAACTTCTTAAACTTCAAGCAAGTTCACTAAATAACCTTCAGGTAATCTCCATTTAGAAAAAACACAATTTAATAAAATCTCAAACATACAAAATGCCTAATATCAAAAGGGCTCCTCTACATCTCAGATATATATCTTCAGAATAACTTCATTAACATATAAAAGTCAGATGAATCAACAAACACCAATATTGGCTGAAAATATAGTTGTGAGCAGAAATGAATCATTTGTTGTGATGTGAGAACCATCAATGGGTGAAAATTTAAAGGGATCATTATTCAAGACCTCAAAAGAACTTCAGATCTTAACTAGTCCAGGGATTCTCCATGCTGGTTGAACCTTAAAATCATTTCTGGGAATATAAAAAAATATTCTGATGTCAACGTAAGCAGAACTCGGGGAGGACAACTTTTTTATCAGTAACTTTTTTTTAAAGTCGTCAATGATTCTAATACGTAGCCAGGAAAATTTCAGATTACAGATAATCCTTAAGGTTGTTCTCAAACCACTGACATCATTCTCCCTTCCAGATTTTTCCACATTATAAATAATGGAAAGGCAAAACGAATTTCACATATTTCAATTTATTTGTTTACTAAATGAATTTTGGAATGCCTACGAATAGAATTTCAAACGTCAAGCTCTGGGCAATTCACATACTCTACCATTAACGCCCAGCTAGGCTACTGATGGAGACTGCTCAAAAACTTTCATAAATTGCACTACCAAGAGAGAGGGGACGCATTCAATCAGTAATAGATATTTGGTTACTGAAGTACTGCAGCACTGAAAAGCACTCTGTAAAGCCAGTCAATCTTGGCTCTGACAAACTCCGTGCGAACCTAAACCTGAATTTTCTCACGTGTGAAATGGGAACTAACATGTACCTCCTAAAGCAGATGTTAACGAGCTATAACACCGAACAGTACTGGCAAATAGGATGGCTCAATTTAATAAACTAAGAATAAGAATAAGCTAATTAATGCCTGTCGAGCTTAACCAAAAAAGCAGTACTAGGCAAAGACCAGCTCGGGTCAGTCTCAGAGGCCCATAAGCATCTTTTCACACATGTCCCCGTTAGCGATGCCAAGCGGAGGACTGCCAAAGGAGAAAAAGGCAACTGCGAGCTAGCAGAGAGAAAAGTCTCTCTGGAGCAAGAACGGCTTCTAAAGCCCAGAGCGGCCCAGGGGCTGCGTATCCCCCCCGAACAAGCCAGGGCCGCGGCGCCGTCGGCCACATCGATGGGACTGAACCGAAGGGAGGCCGAAGGTGGAGAACAGTGCACGCAAGGTCCCTCTCACCTTCACCACGGCCGTGCCCCGGCTGCCCTGCCGGCCACTGTCTAGTCCTGCTCCGGGCTTGTTTACAAGCAGAGCGGCCATCCTAGCAGGAAACGCGCCGCAGTGGCAGCCGCCAGGGCCTTCTAGTGAGGGGCGGGGCGGGGCCGCCTACCCAGAGGCCCTGGCGCGCGCCGCTGGCGCACAGGCGCAGTGCGACGCCTGACGCTGCTCCGAGGGCCTCGTCGCTCCTCCTGCGTGTTACTAGGTCTCCAAGGGAACAACCTTGTACACGGGCGCTTTCTTATCTTTATTGTTATCATTGACTAGTCTGGAACTGGTGGAAGGGGAGGAATAATTCTATGGGCAAGAGATGGGATAAAGGGCCTCCCCGGTGGCTCAAGGGGTTAAGCATCGTACTATGAAGCAATCCGCAGCCTCTGCAGCACGAGTTCAATCCCCGGCCAGCCAGGGAGAAACCCACATGGCACAGCAGACCTCTCCTGACTCGCTTGCTGCTCCCCTCAGCTGTGTACTTCAGTCAATCTGCTTGTTCTCTTCCCCACTGTCTCTGGTGGATCCTCTCACTCTCCCCCAGCCCCCCGCATCTCTGGCCTGTACTCCAGCTCTTCTATGCATAAATAAATAATTTTTTTTTTTTTTAAGGGATAAAACAAGTTTTGGGGGAAGCTGACACTCTAGTATCGATTTTTCCTACTCAACTACAAGACAGAGTCAAGGGGGAACTACATCTCCCTGCATGCAACGCGGCTCGTATAAAACCACAAATCCCAGCATCCCACGTCCCCAGCTCCTCAGAGCAGGTACTGGAGAGTCTGCGCATTACTGCTCTGGAGTCGTTTCCGTAAGCCGCGCGCGAGCCGTGACTGTGACTGGAAAATAGAAGCTATTTTATGAATAGTTTCCAAAAGGCAAGAGATGGCTGTGGTACAAACAAGCCGTTGGGTTCTCAAAGGACGTGATAAGAGAAATTAAGTCACCACCGGCAGAGAAAAACGGGAGTCTGACATTTGAGGCTGCTTCTTCCCAAACTGCGCTTCGGTGGTTTTTTCCGGCCTCGTTGAACCTCTTCAGCTTCCGTAGGCGGTGGGTCGACAGCGCCCATCAAAATGGAAGTGAATCCCCCAAAACAGGAGCACCTGCTGGCTCTGAAAGGTAAACTTTCGCAAACCTGACTCTTACTGTTTTCTCCCCTTCTCGCTCTCGTTCTTGAAGCCTTTGCACTTAGACCTGGCCTCTGGCATGTAGGCCTCGTCCGTAAATACTGTCAGTGCGCACCATCCTACTCTCTCCCTTAATGTCTACAGGGGTGGAGCAGTTTCTCCTCTTGGCTTTTTAGAGATTTGAGAGCCTCCTTCTAGAAAAGGGATAGCTACCTGGTTAATCAGTCGCTGTGATCTGTGCTGTTGTAGTCACCAGACAGATTTTAGCCGCGGAAACTGACCTCCACTCCTCCCTCAATCCGGGAAGAGCACCGTGAGGTGATTTACAGCAGGCGTCTGAAGTGGCTTTTCTTTCTGTTTCTTGTCTTTTCACCAGGCACTGGCTAAGTTAAAAGGCCTCAGATTCATATGTAAATCTAATTTAGTATTGCCCAATAGTACAAAGAGCATAGAAATACTACAACTAGTTGGTACATTTTTTAAAAACTTACTGCAGCTTACGATAGTGTTGTGTATATGGGAAATGTGTCCAAAATGCATATCAACTTTCATTTTCTGTACACAGCAAACAATTTTGAGTAAGTTTGATGCTTTAGATTATTATTTAGGCAAAACCAGTAGGGCAGAGTTTTTCTAGAATTCCTTTTGTTTTCTAAAAACTTTTATTTGAAATTGTTTCAGTTTCATTTCATTCTTATTTCATCTCTTTCCTATTACCTCAAATGCACTTTTTATTTCCTGGATGCTCTACTACGTGGTTGCCAATATCTTCTTGAACAGAGCTGCGAAAATGCTCAATAAATCATTTAAATTCAGTTGACTTGCACGTACCTTCCTTGTGGCATCCATTTGAGGGACTTTATTCCCTAATTATGATGTAGGCGTCTGACATTCCAGAAGCTCAACTGTCCCCATTTGTAACATAAAATCATATCCTGATAGTTGGGACTAACAGAAATATCTCTGACTGTAGAACTAAGAAACCACAAAATTAAGTAATACAGTGATAGGATTTGTAAACATAACTTGAGCAAATGGACTAAATTAGGTTATTCCTGGGGAAAAAAAAAGAAAAGGAAGGACTGTCATGTTCTTTATCTATTTCACAGCCTCACATCAGTTAGCTCTCAGAAGGTAGATGTTTCCACGATCTCAAAGCTCCTAGGTGACTGAGGCAGTATTCTAACTCAAAACCGCCTTCCATCTTTCCAGTACTACACATTGCTTTGAGATCATTGTTAGTGACTTCTTTGATAGGATTTTGGAACCGTTCTGTTTGCTGAGAATTTAAAGCATTTCAATTAGCTTCTAGTTTTAATTTTATACAAATTAAATGGCATTAGATATATTTAAATCCCAGTGATGTGGAGGCCACCTACCATTGGAAATGTTTAATTTTCTATTTTTCTTTATTTTCCAAGATAGAAGATACCTGGAAAGAATATTTTTAGCACCTTAAAAGGACAAGTGCTTTGAAATTCACTGAGAATTTCAACTTTGTTAAGGCTGTCTGGTCCTGTTCTTCCCCTGTTGTTCTAGTTAATCAAGAATTTTCACAAGTTTTAATTTTTATGATGTTGGATGACAAATACATTAACTTACATGGCCATTTTAGTTTATTTTCTTAAAAACATACAATATTATGGCACCATCAGAACTTCACTGTCCCTGGAGTACAACAAAGAATACGCAATGCCATTACGATGTGAAAATGTAAAGAAGAGAGAAGAAAATAATAAAAGCATTATTAATTCTTGAAAGAATATGCTATCTTGTATTTAGATCCACATTAAAAATTATAGATTTTAAAAACCACAGTCATTTATGAAGAGTTGTCAAATATAGTGGACATAAATGTCTTTATAGTCATTCGTCAAATGAATGTTATGATTTCATAGTTGTCCTAGTAGTGGGAAAACTGTTGTCAAGGAATATTTGATCGCTTTTAGGAGAAGAATTCAGCCATTTATTTTTTACCACAGTAGCTGGGATATCAAAGAAGCTACATTATGGTCCTTGCACCTGTAGGCCTGATTAGGAAGTATAATTTTGCAGTTCCTAGAAATCTCAATTCTTGAGCCTACACACTACATACTGGATCTTATTATCAATGACTTAATTTAGAGCAACTAGAGGACTTCTCTAATTCTAAGAGAATGTTTTAAAAAGGTCTAGACTTCTTGTTCCTCCTCCTAAGTGAAATTTGGAGGCCGTAGTATTGAGGTCTTCATACATCTTAACTGGCCCAATTATACAGCGGAGACTTTATCACAAAAGCATTTCCTAGCTTGGTTAAAAATACTAAGAAAACACGGGCCTCCCCTGGTGGCGCAGCGGTTGAGCTCTGGGCTGAGAGGCTGCCCACAGCCTCTGCAGTACGGTTGGTTCGTTCCCCGGCCACCGGCGAGGGTTCCACAAAAAAAAAAAAAAAAAAATACTAAGAAAACATGTTCATGTTTTTTACTGTTTACTACTAAGAATGAATTAAATAAGAAAACATGTTCATTTTTTTACTGTTTACTACTAAGAATTAATTAAATCATTCATTCTGCCTATATATTTGTCAAATAGAGGTCATGTAATTTAAAGTGTAATATCCATTTTCTTCCAAAAACATTAAAAATTATAGTGATTTTCATTGTCTTCTATTCAGATGTCTCACAAATTTGTTAGATTTTAGTTTATTAACATGAATCTAGTATTTTAAGAGTCACTAACTTTTTATTTCTGCAGTAATCAAAATCATTTCAATATATAATATCAGTGCTTTCAAATCCTCTTTGTTGATGAATATGTTAACTGCTAACATTTTTGGGCTGGAAGTGGTCTTATAGTCCCGATCCCTTATTTTGGTGAAAGAAGGACTGCCAGTTTTATGGATTACATTCACATTTACCAGCAACTCTTTGGTAATATCATACTGGGATTGGGTTGTTTTTCCTTTTCTTCCTGTTTGTATGTAGGCCATCCCTACCATGTCTTACTTTTTGCAATACTTCTACTTTAGGTCCTGTTTCCCTCTGATTTGGAAAGAGAGTCTTGTAATTATAAATTACATTCTAGCTCTGAGGAGTGCAGCTAAAAATTTTTCTCTTCACTAAAGTAACTGGATTACTGCAGAATGACTACAGAAGTAATATTACATTATCGGCCAAATGAGAGTGATCCTACACAACTGCCCAAAATTGCAAAGAAAGTAATTCAAGACTTTCCTACACGTGCACTATCAAGATTTATTCCTTGGTTTCCACATGATGGGTCCAAACTTCCACTCAAACCTAAAAGATCACCACCTGTGATTTCTGAAGAAGCAGCTGAAGATGTGAAACAGTACTTAGCAATTTCAGAACATGGTGTAAAATCACATAGTTATGATTGCACTGTAAATCTATTGGAATTCCAACCTAATTTGAAAGAGAAGAAGCACTTAACCCGATCACACTCTCTGAATGAACAGACTGATTTGGGAAATCTAGATAAAGGAAAACAGCACCAAATGAGATCTTGGAGTGTTTCACTTTCTAGAAGTAATAGTACTGAAAATATATTTCCTTTATCTAAGAAACTGCAAGACACTTTAACAACACTAAATTTGCACTCATTTCATAGAGCAAGATGGACAATAGAACATACTGTATGTAACCTAACTCTGGAAGACATTTGGACAAAACTCAGTCGAATTATCAAGCACAATGAACTTCCATCTTGTAATGCTACAATCCAGAGACATGTAGGCCAAATATGGGTGTTCTGTGATGTTATGTATTGTGAATATGTGGGGAATCTTCTTAAAGAAAGATTAGCTCTTACTGGGAAAATGAATTTATTTGTGCATAAATATGGTGTTATTTTTAGTATGTGATGAGTTCCACTGATTGTCAAAGGGAATATTCTGAATGAACTGAAATAGATGAATATATTTTTAGCAAGTTTTTAATTTTTTATTGATTTAATTTTTGTATTTTATCCTCCACTAACCTAACCTGTTCTTAAGTTTGTGAAAAAAATAATTGTATCATAATATGAATTACAGTGAATAATTTGGGTTTGGGTCAGTTCCCATAATCTAATGTTACTGTATTTTTTCACTATTCACCTGAAGAGTAATGATTTTAAATAATAAAACTAAAACTAACTCTTTTGGAAATGCCATTCAAATGGTGTGATTGTAGTTAACATTGGGAGAACCACCCAGATCTTCCTGATGTTTCCAAAGTTATTTAATAGATAATTAATGGGTTGATTTTAAACAAGGGTACCAAAAATACAGTTTGCCTAAAGCCATACTGTCTATTTCATACTGTAACCTTTTTTAGTAACAGGGTTGTGTCAAATCTGGATAAGAGGTCAAGTTACTCTTCTTTATTATAATACACATAATTCACTCTTAATGACGATTAATGCTGATTACTAGTTGGCTGGTTCTTGGAGTCATTGTGGGTTTCCCATAAGCAAAATATTGTAAATTAGGTTTATAAGCACCTCATAAAAATTCCCAAGTGATTATAGAATAAAAGTTTTGTAAAAGCGTGTAGATATTTATTTAACAGATATAAATGTCTACCATGAACTAGGTGCTAGAATATATTAGGGAAGGTGTCAAATATGGAGCTTGTCTGTCATGGAGATTACGTGAAGTTAACTATTTAAGTAGTCAAACAGTTGCTTAAGAAAAACCAGTAACACTGTACTTATTAGGAAGGCAGAGACATGTATGTCTTCTGGCACAGTGCCTGGCATGGTAATGGCTCAATAACATGGTGAATGTGCCCTATAGAGGAATTTACAGCCTGATCTGGCTGAAGTTGCTTAAAATATGAAGAAATCTATTAATTTAAAACTCAAGAGATTATCTTTTCCAACTAAGTTTTAATCTAGTCAAACATTGTTTTGTTTTGACTTCGAGTACCTTTTTATTTTCTCAAATGAAACTTCTGTCTAGATATAATCATGATATGCATGAATGCTTCCAAAAAAGTCTTTGAATGAAAA